TTAAGAAGAACAAAGTTGGAGGTATCACATTACCCAATATCAAACTATACTATAAGGCTATAGTAATCAAAACAGCATGGTACTGGCATAAAAACACACACGTAGACAGAGACAACAGTGTGGTGATTGCAGGGAGGATAGGGGTGGGTGGGGGTAGAAGAGGGTATAAGGAGGATAAATGGTCATTGAAAAAATACAATAAAAATAAACTATTAAAAAAAAAACAGACACACAGATCAATGGAACAGAATAGAGAGCCCAGAAATAAACCCACACCTATATGGTCAATTAAACTATGACAAAGAGGATAGAACATATAATGGAGTAAAGACAGTATTCAATAAATGGTATTTGGAAAATTGGACACATACATGTAAAAAAATGAAACTAGACCACCTTACACCACATGAAAGAATAAACTCAAATGGATTAAAGACTTAAGACTTGAAACCATTAAACTACCAGAAGAAAACAGGCAATAAAATCGTTTGACATTTGTCTTAGCAATATTTTTTCTGATATATCTCCTCCAGCAAGAAAAACAAAAGAAAAAATAAATAAATGGGACTACCTCAACCTAAAAAGTTTTTGCACAGCAAAGGAAACCATCAACAAAATGAAAAGACAGCCTACTGAATGGAAGAAGATATGATACATCAATAAGCGGTTAATATCTAAAATTTATAAAGAATTCATACAGCTCAACACCAAAAACACCCAATCAAAAAATGGGCAGAGTACCTGAACAGACACTTCCTTCCTCAGAGAGGACACACAGTTGGCCAACAGACATATAAAAAGATGCTCAATATCACTAATCATCAGAGAAATGCACATCAAAATCACAATGAGATCACCTCACACCTGTCAAAATGGCTATGATCAATAAATCTACAAACAACAAGTGTTGGTGAGGATGTGGAGAAAATGGAACTTTCATGCACTGTTGGTGGGAATGCAGATTGGTACAGCCACAATGGAAAACAGTATGAACGTGTATCGGAAAATTAAAAATGGAACTGCCTTATGACCCAGCATTTCCACTCCTGGGTATATATCTGACACCATGGATGCCGAGTCCATAAGTCCACCTTCCCCAGAGCATCGTAACCAGGAGGGCAGCTTGGGGTTTCCAGCTCCCACATGGGACCAACTCACCAGTCTGTGGGCAGAGACTCTGGGGTTCTCTGTCCACCTGCTATCTTGGAGACGGCGTTTTCTCCTTGCCTTTCTTCTTGATCCTGGAGAAGAGCCAGGGTTCCTCCCACCGCCCGCTCAAGTGTTCATTCAACAGCTGTTGGTGGGCTCCCAGCATCTGCCAGAACTGGGCATGGAGCTCCCCGCGATTCCTTGGAAAGCGAGACAGATGAACAAACCTTCTTAGAGTTTACAGTGCAGTTCTCCAAGTATGATCCCCAGACTAGCAGCAGCAGCATCACCTGGGAACCTGCCGGAAACGCAAATTCTCCATCCCTACCCCAGACCCCTTGAATCAGAAACTTGATTTAACAAGCTCCTCAGGTGATTCTAACACATTCTAAAGTTGAACCACTGATTGACAGACGGCATGGGTCCTCCCCTGAGAGGAGCCGCCCAGCCTCGGGGAACATTTGGCAGCATCTGGAGACATGTTTGGTTTTCTCAACCAGGGGAGAAGGGCTTCTAGTGGGTAGAGGCCAGGGATGCTGTTAAACACCCTACAATGCACAGGACAGCCCTCAGAGTACAGAATTACCTGGTTTCAAATACCAGTTGTACTGAGGTGGAGAAACCCTGCGCTAGAGGCGATAGAGGGCAGGCAGTGACTCTTTTTCTCCCTTTATTCCAGATGTGGCGCAACCTGGGGCATGGCACGTCCCCCCACCCCCACCTCAGCCTGAAGTGAAGGGGTAGAACTCAGGGTTGCTGAGTTCCTTTCCAGCTGGGATGTCCATTGGCTCCAACCAAGCGACTGGTCTGCCCCCTGGAGGCTGGGCTGATTCAGTCCTCCTCTTTCTCTTAGGTGCCAAGAGGCTAAGAGGAGCCTTGGGGAAGGGAAGGATCTGTCACCTGCCTAGTCCAACACTCTCCCCAAGCCAGACTGCTGCTACCAGAGTCCAGCTGGCCTTTGGTTTCCCAGTGACCAGTCCCTCCTCCCCATTGTGGGCAATGTTGCTTCCACCGGCCCAACACCAAGGAGCCCACGCTGGGAAGGAGAGAGCCACGAGCTGGCCCCTCACACTCACCTGCTTTGTGCAGGGAGTGGGCAGGCACAGCGACACCCTCTCTCCTGAGTCTTAAACCTTCGCTTGTCATAGTCTAAGTAATGCAGCAGCTCTGGCTGCGAGTTCCGGGGGCCTAAGGGTAGCCGCAGCGACGCGGACCCTCTGGACCCCCCCGGACCCCGTGCGCTGGGCGGCGCAGTTCGTACTCCTTGCGTGGGGAGCGCGGGGGCGGGGTTAGCCAAGCGGCCGAGCTCTGACTGGTTGGACTTCAAGACCCCGCCTCTCCTTGGAGCCCGCTGACCCGCCACCTCGTTCTTGAACCTCTGCTCTAAAGGGCCAGGAAGGGGAGGGTGTTTGTTACCATTTCATTTTTTGGAGAAGACGTGTAGGCCTGGCGGGAACGCTGGGCCAGACAGCCGCGGGTCCCTTGCAGTCGTGGCTCGCCTGGCTCTGGGGTTTGAAGCTAAAAAGAGGCGGAGGAGAGACAGGAGGTGGGGCGCACAACATGCTTAGCGACAGGGAATGAATGCTTTGGCTACACATTCTAGTCTTCACAATTGCGGTGTGATTTGAGGCAAAACTCTTGCCTGCCCTGATTGTTGCCTTAAATACATGAAGAGGAAAGTCAATTTTCATGAATTTTAGCTCCTTGCTGGGTGGGTTTGCATGGACCGTGGTTTATTACACCCCCTGAAAATCCACTGGCCGACAGTAAACGCCTATTGCAAGGGGCTAACCTAGAACACCCTGCTTGGTGTGGGTTTAATACCCGCTATGAAATAAAGAGCTGTTACTAGATGCCACATTAGCACACTGTAGTAAAGCCTGCTTTGTAATCTGAGATCAGTGGCCCTGAAGCACCTCCCGTGGGCCAAGTAGTAACCGAAAGGGGGGAGATGAACGCTTAATGGTGGACGTACTGGGTATGGTTCCTAACGAGAATGCTGCCGTGCATTCTAGGAAGTATACCAGCGGCCTGAGAAATGGGGTTTGAAAGCTGCGACAGTTCTCTAAATGTGGGTAACAAAGGCTCTGCTTCAGAGGAGGGAGCTGGGCATGGAGGGGGCTGGATCTGAGTGGCATCAGGACTTGGTGATTGGAGGAGGGGGCGGATCAGAGGCGGCTCCAAGGACTGAGTGTGGGATCTGGGAGGTCCGTGGGGTCATGGGCAGAAATAGGGCATTCGATTTCCACTGTGCTACGGGAAGGGGGAGGGGGCCAACCCCAAAGATTCCCTGTCAGGAAATTCCATTTCTCTACCACCGTGAATGAGTATTTCAAGGAAGAGCCTCTGGTGGCCCAGCGCAGTTTAGAGGGGCAGCTCTTGGCAGGAGCAAACTTCAGGGCCTCGGCAAGCCCCCACCAGGGTCCTGTGGGGAATGAGAACACACGAGGGTGGGATTCCTAGTAAGGCCCTCCTGCCCAAGGTTTCCAGGACAGTCGGGCGGAGCTGGGGGGTGGCTGTGCTGAGATCTTGTCTGAGGCAGGGTGCTTTGTCCTTTGATCGTCCTGCAACACCTCCCGCGGCTCTGGCATGGGCATCGTGTCCATGTTCGTGCACATTTTGCTGAACGTGAACCTTCGGTAGGTTTTCTATGGGTTACTTCCCTGGGACTGTGGGAGATGAGGAGCCAGGAAACAGCAATGATGGCCAGTGTCTTCCTGGTATTGGTGTGCGGGAACTAAACTCTTCTTTCTTCTCGTCTGAGAAAAAAGACACGGGAGTCATACAAATGGGATTAAAAACACTTCTATGAAACGCAGCCTGGCTGGGTGACTCCGTTGAAGCATCGTCCCATACATCAAAAGGTTGCAGGTTCAATTCCCCATCAGGGCACATACGTAGGCTGCACGTTTGATTCCCTGTTGGAGTGCGTAGAGGAGGCAACCAATCAATGTTTCTCACATCAATCTTTCTCTTTCTCTCTCTCTCCCTTCTTCTCTCTCTAAAGTCAATAAAAAAAACATACCCTCAGCTGAGGATTTTAAAAAAGAGGAAGAAATGTAATAGGCAAATGCATAGACAATAAATTGGTAACTGCTTAGAGCCCGGGTGGAGAGCATTGAGGGGGCAATAGCGGAAGGGTACAGAGTCTCTTTGTGGTGATGAAAATGCCCTACAACTCTGTTATGATTGCACAACCCCGTAAACAGACTAAGAAGCATTGGATTGTACATTTTAAATGGGTAGATTATATGTCCTTTGAATTACATTTAAATAAAGCTGTTAAAAACCAGCTGAGATGTTTGGCCATGTTTGAGGTACCTAAGACTCTCCCTCCCACCCCCCTGAACTGAGCTTAACCTTCCAGCACTTCAGACCTTCCCCTTGCCCTTTACGCACATCCCAAGGACGGGACCCTCTGAGAGAGACACAGCAAAGGGCTGAGCCCGGGTCCAGTCCCTCTCCTGAGCCCACCACTCAGAGAAATCGCTGCTCCTCCCATGGGGGAGGGAGTCCCAGGGTGGAGAGAAGCTTCTGGAGCAGAAGAGTCCTCAGAGAACCATGAGCCGCAGAAATGCAGCCCCCACACCTAGGGCTGGGTAAGAGCCAACTGGGGTTCATATTTTCTCACACAGATGAATGAATTCCATAGTTCAGGAGGATTATGGGGCGATTCTTATCTCTTTTTATGTTGTCTTTCCAATTTTTCTATACTAGTACTATTTTTTTTTAGGACAAAAGTACGGAAAATCAGGGGTCAAGTGGGAGAGGTTAGGAGTGTAGCCTGTCGGGCCTGGGCTCAGGGCCTAGCTGGGTGGTACTGTGGCTGATGGGCTTGCCCCCCTCTGCAGGAGCCATGTGGCTGGAAATTCTCCTTGCCACGGTGCTGGGCTTCGTCATCTACTGGTTTGTCTCCCGGGACAAAGAGGAAACATTGCCACTTGGAGATGGATGGTGGGGGCCTGGGCCACGGCCCGGGCCCGCAGCCGAGGATGAGAGCATTCGCCCTTTCAAGGTGGAAACATCGAACGAGGAGATCGACGTAAGGCCCCTCTTTCCCAGCAGGGCTGCGCAGAGGGGAGGCAGGAAGCCCCTTCTGTGGCTTCCCTGAGATTGGGGTCAGGCCTTAGGCTGGGACTGGGGAGAGGACGGGACTTGGGAAATGACCCCTCCTCGGGAGTGCCAGATGGGAGAGGGGGTGCCAGCTGGACCCAGTCTCATGCATTGAAGGTCACAGAAAGCAACTGTTTTGCCTCCTTTGTGCCCCATCTGAAACCTGGGGACTGAGTGTATAGGAGAAGGTGAGCGAGTTGTCAGGTCCCGGGTGGAGATCTTATTGAAGAGACAGAAAATGCTGGCGCACAGAGAACCCGCTGCGGGGCCAGCATGGGTTAGGCCCCTACTGTGTGCCAGCCATTCGTGGTCCTGTTCAGGCCCTGCAGTAATTCTATAGGGTCAGGTCTATTGTTCTCACCTCACAGTTGCAGAAACCAAAGCTCAGAGAGGGAAAGCAATTTATCCGAGGTGACGCAGATCCTAAGGCAGATTTGGCTTCAGATCTGTCAGACTCCAAAGTCTGTGTCCTCCTCTGCCCAGGCTGGTGTCAGGGAAGGTGTGACCGGTGCGGTGGGCTCATCTGAGTGGCCGGCCTGAGCAGTGCCAGGAGGGTGGGTGGGACCTGGGATGTCCCCACCCATTCTTGCTTTCCTTCTGTGGGTATCAGAGCACCTGCTGTGTGCAGTCACTATGCTGGGTGCTTGGAAGTCAGAGAGTCTTCCCTCACGTAGCTCATAGTTCGGTAGTTGAAAAAAGAAATGTGCACAGAGAAACGTTAACTAACAGATTAACCAAGATAAATGCCATAAGTGCCCAGAAAAACATCACGAGAGCTCTGAAAAGCAGAAACAGGGCTGCACGGAAGAGGAGGCAGATATGGCTCCCTTGGTAGGACTTAATAAGGCCTCTCTGTTTTTGGACAGAGGCTGAGCTCTGACAACACGCCTTCAGTGGGTTCTTAGACTCAGAGCCCGATTGCCACAGTATGTTTGGGGGTGCCTCAAATGCTTGGGGGGACACTCTGGGAAGGATCCATGCGCTGGCTTGAACCTTCTCCAGCCAGGGCTTGTCTCGTGGCCCAAAGGACGTCCCTTAGACCTGTGTTCTCTCTCCTCTGTAGTTTTTACCCTGAGTTATAATGTGTTATTCGACGCTGTATATCCGAGTTGGCAAACCACACCTCATCAGACAAAGCCATCCTGCCACCTGTTTTTTATACAGCCCCCATGCTAAGAATAGTTTTTATATCTTTAAATGGTTGGAAAAAAATCAAAAGAACAAGGCTATTTCATGACTTGTGAAAATTATATGACGTTCAGATTCAGTGTCCTTGGGAAAAGGTTTGCTGGAACATGGCCATCACCTACAAGCTGTCTGTCCTTGGCCGCTTCCATGCCACGGGGACAGAGAGCAGTAGTCGCAGTTCGAAAAGCCTAACATATTGGCTATCTGGCCCTTTCCCAAAAAGGTTTGCCACCTTCTGCACATAGAAGCGTAGATAAATTAAAGATGTGTATTGTTTGTACATTTAAAAACTGAAACGTGAGAGGTAAACCAGGAGTCAGAAGTAAAGAGCATATACTTTGGGAAGAGCCTCTGGCACAGAAAACATAGAGGTTTTTTCTGGGGTGAACTTGACCACCCAGAGCCAAATTCTGCAGACCAGTGGCCTTCTGCCACTTCACCTCTGCTGGAGCACAGCATCTGGTAGGCACAGGGTTTGCTCTGTCTTCTGGAAACTTTCTCTGTGCTCTGCCCCACCCACGCCTCTCTCCTTGGGGTCCTGCATTTTGCTCCAGGATTTATACCAAAGGATCAAGAAGGCCCGTGTAACCCTGCCATTGGAGGACAGCCGCTTCCACTACGGTTTCAACTCCAACTATCTGAAGAACATCCTCTCCTACTGGCAGAATGAATTTGACTGGAGGAAGCAGGTGGAGGTTCTCAACAGATACCCTCACTTCAAGACTAAGATTGAAGGTATGTTTCCAAAACACCAGCTGGAGGGGGGACAGATGTCATGGGAACGGCTTTTTCAAATGCTGCACGAGACTTAGAAAAGCTGGGGAGACCCAGAATCCAGTTATTGGTCATTGAGATGTATTTAAAAGGGATAACCTCACCAGAATGTAGAAATGACGCGCGAAATTGAAGCAAATGCAACAGCTGGAGCCCAGGTTTCCATGCCAGCTGCTCCCACCCCCCCCCCCCAGCAAGCCTTCAGCACGTCTCTGTCCCTGGCTCCCTCGCCTGGGTTTGGTCCAGGAAGGCCTACTTCCTCGCCCTCCGAGTGCTGCTGTCCTCCTCTCTCATGTTTGGACCTTCTCCAGGTCCTCCCAGCCCCTGCCCTGACCCCAGTGCTCCAGGCTGCTCCAGGTCCAACCTGTGACCCCCACTCCAGAGGTGCCCGGCCCATCCCCTCAGAGGGAGCGAGCTGCCCCCGCCCCCAGTCACAGGGAGGCAGAGGTTCAGGGCCAGGCCCCGACTCTCCAGACGTCCAGCCTGTCCCTGGCTACGGACTCACCCCACAGCATCCCCTCGCCGCCCGCCAGGCCCAGCAGTGCCTCTCACCTGCCTGGCTCCTAATGCAGGAGCCAGGGCGTGGAGCGTCCTGTGGCACCGCAGATCGATAGAGAAACCCAGAGGACATTTCCTCCTCCAAGGGCAAATGATGAGGTGTGGGCTTCTAGCATTTTTTCTTCATTTTAAAACTTCAAATATTTAAAATTCAAAGAGCACAGAAGGATATACAGTGAAAAGGAGTTTCCCTCTCAGCCCTTCCCCCCAGCCCCCACCTCCCTCCCTGAGGGCATCTCTGCTTCTCTCTCCTCTGCTTCCAGGGAGAGTCCATGCACATTCAAGCACGCATATGTAGACGGGTTTTGTGTTTTTTTCTAATTTTATGCCCAAATGATAATGTGATAGAACTTGAATTAAAAATAATCACACATCATGCAGGATGCTCCAAAGGAGGTAAGATTATCTACTAAAATAAACTGTAGAATGGGAGTAAATTTAGCAACATAGAAGGATGGCCAGGATATATTGTTAAGTGGGAAAAAAAAAAAAGGTTCGAAAATAGAATGTATGTAGGATTCTGTTTTTGTTAAAAGAAAGCTATATTCTCTAAGCACTTTTCAAAAGTCTGAACTGTCACAGCGAAGAGGAGCCTAAGGAGACATGACAATTAAATGTAATGTGTCCTGGATGGGATCTTGCAACAGAAGAAGGACGTTAGGTAAAAACTAAGGAAATCTGAATGATATTCCATTGCATGTATATGCCAATATTATCTAGTCTTAGAAAAGAAGGAAATCCACAATGTGTGACAACATGAATAAGCCCTGAGGATATTAAACCAGTCACAGAAGGACAAATACTGTATGATTCCATTTATATGAGGAATTTAAAAGTGTGATGCTGGGAGAGGGGGAAATGAGTTGCTAATTAATAGATATAAAATTTCAGTTATACACAACCAAGAGTTCTAGAGATCTGCTGTACACCATTGAGACTATAGATGATAATAACATTACACCACTTAAACATTTGTGAAGAGGGTCCATCTTATGTCAAATGTTCTTAATACCATCAAATTTTAAAAATAAAAACTTAAGTGTGGACTTTAGTTATTCATGTATCAGTGCTGGTTCATTCATTGTAACAAATCTATCACACTCACATAAGATGTTAATAGTACGAAAGGTGGGTAAAGGTATGTGGGAACTTCCTGTGCTATCTTGACTATTTTTCTAAAAACCTGAATTTGTTCCAAAATGTTCAATTTATTTTTAAAAGTTTTGACAGATAACACAAAGTTCTCTTCAGATAGTGGGATTACATGTGACCTTTTTCACCTTTTGATTTGTCTGGTTGCTGTTTTCTGCCATAAATGCGTGTTATTGGTATAACAAATTAATCCCAGGCCAGAGTTAGCTACACTGGGCTGTGGATTCCAGCCCTCGTGGCGGAGCGTTCCAGGTGCGGCAGCAGCCCCTGGCTCGGGACAGGCCTGCTCTCCGAGAGTCTCTGGAGGAGCCTGGAATCCATTCACCTGCCCTGGCTAGGACGGCGCTCCACGTGTCCGGCATTCTCCCTTAGAAAAAAATTTCTCTACTTGAAAAAAAAGTTATGCACTTACTCTATGTCCTCTATAGAAAGTACTCGTAACACAAAAATGAAAATGAAAGCACCTAAAATTCTCCTGCACAGAGAGAACTATTTTTTTTTTTACATTTTTGTAATTTATCCTTCCAGGCTTTAAAATTCATATATACGCAGTATAAGTATGTGCATACATATGACCATTTACAAAAATTGGGTCAGACAACGGCTATGTCTTGGTAATTTGCTTGTACCACATAGTGACATGGACTGTGCTGCTGTCTGTCAAATAACCACACGTCCACACTGTCATGTTAGACAGCTGTATTGTATTCCAGGATGCTGTTAAACTATAATCTATTTAATTCTCTGTTGCGAGATATATGGGGCTTCCACCACCCCTCCCTCAGGATGTTTAAGTTATTAAACAAGTGTTTTGTGAGCCCTGCCACGCTCCAGGGACCGCTCTGGGCTCTAGGGATATAACAACGCACAAGCGGCCACGGCCTTGGCCTCTTGGAGCTCACATTCTCACGTGAACCGGCCACAGGACAGCACCTCCTTGCAGCACGGCCGTGAAGGCCGAGCGAGGGCACCCACGTTGCTGGAGTGCGGAGTCAGCGCTTGGCCAGCGTTGGTGGTTGTGACTGTTGTCACTGTGACCGGTACCCCACTGTTTGAGCTCCAGGGGGTGCAGCATCCCACCGGGTCCCCTGAGGGCCATGACTACAGCCTCCCCAGCTGCAGGGTGCTGTCCCCCTCCTCCCCTCTCCTGACTATGTTCTGTCCCCCCAGGGCTGGACATTCACTTCATCCACGTGAAGCCCCCCCAGCTGCCCCCTGGCCGCACCCCCAAGCCCTTGCTGATGGTGCATGGCTGGCCTGGCTGCTTCTACGAGTTCTATAAAATCATCCCGCTCCTGACTGACCCCAAGAACCATGGCCTGAGTGACGAGCACATTTTTGAAGTCATCTGCCCTTCCATTCCTGGCTACGGCTACTCAGAGGCGGCCTCCAAGAAGGGTAGGGAGGCTGCTGGTGGCCGTGGACCCGCCCCCTCCTCCCCTGGTGGGGCCAGGTTGGCCCATAGGGCTCTCCTGGGAGACTGAGGCCGGGAGTCTGCTGGGACAGCTTCCTTCAGGGCCTGAGGTGGCGGGGGACAGAGGGCAGAGAAGCGAGGAGAGCGTTTCCCTCACGCAGAAGGCCCACACATCTTCTCAGGATCTGAGGAGCGTGGTGGACCGGGAACCAGGCAGTTATGACTCCCAGAGTCGAGGGCACGGCTGTTTAGTGCGGGCTCAGGGGCCTGGAACAAATGTCCTGAGGAGCTGCCCACTCGGCAGCAGGTCCGCATCTGGGCCCTGGACTGTTCCAGGCCAGCCAGGCTGACCAAGCCCCACACACCGTGCGGGCCACAGCAGCTCACCTGGGCTGGCCAGGGCCTATCTGTCCACCAGGACGGGCATCGGGCACCCCGCCTTTGGGCTCCAGGATGCTCCTCTCCTCCTGAGCTGCTCTGACCTAGTCTGGGGCGAGGGGGTGTGGAAATTTTCGCAGAACATGGGAGGAGCCGAGGAGCTGCCTCGCCGTGACTCCGATCTCTTCCCCCTCATGACCAGGCTTGAATTCGGTGGCCACCGCCAGGATCTTTTATAAGCTGATGCTGCGGCTGGGCTTCCAGGAATTCTATGCTCAAGGCGGGGACTGGGGTTCCCTGATCTGCACCAACATAGCCCAGATGGTACCCAGGTGAGGGCCACTTCCAGGTTTGTGTGTGCAGGTGCGTGCACAGCATCTACAAGGAGGACATCCGTGCAGCGTGGCCCGGTCATGCACGCGGGACCCTGCCTGGACAGAGCCTCTGAGCCTTGGAGCATCCTCTTGCTAGGGGGCTTGTGAGCCCAGGGGAGAGGAGGGAGGGTCCCCCGGCACTCAGCTCTGGCACTCAACTCCGCCTGGGGCACTTTGACATGGGCCCTCCCTCCATTTAGTGTCACACAGGGTTGGTGACTCTGGGCTAGTTAGAGGGAGGAAGGTCAGGGAATAAACCTTTCTGATGGACCAACCCCGGGGAATAACCTGACTGGAACTTTCTATAAACTCCGTATTTTCTTATCAACCTGCCCCTGCCGCTTCACCTCATGTGGCCACCCAAGAGGGGCAGATGCTGAAGGGGGCTGGCCCTGGTGGCCTTCTCCTCCTGTGTTCCTTCCCTCCCCTGTTCCCTTGACAGCAGCCGAGCCTAACCTGGCCCCTCTCTGCCCTCAGCCACGTGAAAGGCCTGCACTTGAACATGGCTTTCATTTTAAGAAATATCTATACCCTAACCCTTTTCCTGGGACCACGTCTCCAGAAGTTTTTTGGCTACACAGAGAGGGATGTGGAGCTGATGTTCCCCGTCAAGCAGAAGATTCTAAACAACAGCATGAGGGAGAGTGGTTACTTGCACATCCAAGGCACCAAGCCAGACACCGTGGGTGAGTGGGCGGGAGGCGGCCCCGCTCAGTGGCCTTCTCCACGGGGGGCGAGGGGAGGCGGTTTGCAGCCATTCCACTCAGGAGGGTTCCCAGCCAGGGGAGGCCTCACCGAGGCCCAGGAATAGGGTGACAACCTCTCTCAAGGACCTCGGAGCTCTTTCGACCCTTAAACTGCATTTTTCCATAGAAGTGAGTTGATACGTGGTCATCAAACTCCCCAACAATTCCATTTAGCGGATTTATTTTCCAAGTGGCTTGGACCCCTGAACCCTCCACCCCTGAGGGATGGAGAGGGGCAGGGGGAGGAGGAAGCCTGGGGGCTTGGTCTCTCAGGGGCTGTGGGGGCAGAGGAGAGGGTGCCCCAGGGCCGGGGTGGGGCTGGGCAGGAATCCCCATGACAAGCAAGGGAGAGGCCAACCAATCGTTCCTGTTAAAGGACCATTTAAAAAAAAAAGACAAAAATATTTTTAAAATAAAACCACACTAATATAAAATGAACACATTAAAGAATGAATTACGTAATTCATTAATTAATTAATTACGTAATTCATTAATTACCATGTATTTGTCGTGTATGATGTGCATGTTTTGTCCAAATTTTTGAGGGGAAAATAAGGATGCGCATTATACATGGGTAGTACCTAAAATACCTTATATCTATTCTTGTGCTTTGTAATTATTTCTTACATAAAAGTTCTTGTAGCATAATATGTTCAAAAAAGGCTAAAATTCCTTTCTAATACAAAAAAAGTATCTAAATATAAACAAATTAAAAATTGAATTAAAAAATTAAAACAGAAGATTTTTTCCCCCAAAAGTGTGGGTCAAAAACTTGGGTGCGCGTTATACATGGCAAATACAGTAATGAAGAAACCAGTAGACTGTAAAATAGAACAGTTCAAAGGCAATTCGGAATACTCAAATTGATGGGCTAATAGATGGAAAACGTCAAATCCACAGCAATAATCAATTAAATCTCCATTTGCTTCTCTAAGAGCAAGAATCACTGGCATGACTGCTTTCTACAGTTTACAGATACAAAACAGTTCTCAGACGCGGGAAGAGAGGGCCCCTGTGGAGTCACATAACCCTGGGAAGAGTCCACTAGATAACTCCCCAGATCCCGCTCGGAAAGCACCGGGGAATAGTTTTGTTCGTTTCAAAGTCTTTTACAGTTTTCAGGACGGTCTCATGCTCCACACACTTTAGGCAACTCATGATTAAAAATAGCGCTTCATAACCAGTTTTCTTCCCTCTGATTATAAAAGTAATCCACACTCACTTTCAAAAAACTGAAAGATGCAAAAAGCACCAACTGGAAGTCACAGTCACCTGTCACCTCTCATCCTGCCCTGCCTCCCTGGCCCCCGGCCCTCAGACGAACTTGCTAACATTTTGGCTGATGAATGTTTACAAGGGGAACCTGTCCACACAACCAGAAAGATAACATGCCCCTACCAGCCCAGAAGCCCCCCTCCCTCTGCCAGACACTGTCTTCTACAAACTTCCCAGGTATCACCCTTCTGACCTGAGACAGACAGGAAGTGGAACTCTAGAGTAGGTACATCTTTTAAGTCTGACTTCTTTTATTTAATATCATGTTTGGGAAATTCACCCAAGCTGTTGTCCCAGGCGTTTTTAATGTCTGCCTAGTATTTTAGTTTGTGGATGGATCAATATTTATTTGCGACTGATCCCTAATTTTTGACTTTAGGTTGTTTCTCATTTGTCACTAATCATAGTGTATAGACCCCAAAAACCCACCTTTTAAAAGACAGCATTCATCTCTATGTTTCATTTGGATCTCACAAAACCCAGAGCCGTAGACCCTCCTGTTTGACGGAAGCTGCCCATAGTGTCCCCCGACGAGGTCGCAGGGAGGCACCACCCACTTCATCAAACACAAGGACCCGAGGGGAGGGTTAAGGAAGTGAGGTGCAGGGGCACGCACGCCAAGTGTTGGGGCAGCGCTGTGCCCCGCCAAGGGCTCCCTGGCTGTGGCACCGCTCCAGGGAGCCCGCACCCTGGGCCCAGGCCTGAGTCACTCCGGCTTCTTCCCACACCAGGCTGTGCCCTGAATGACTCTCCCATGGGACTGGCTGCCTACATTCTAGAGAAATTTTCCACCTGGACCAACTCAGAGTTCCGAGACCTGGAGGACGGCGGCCTCTTACGGTGAGACCCCCATGCCCCTCTCACCCCGGCGGCACCCTCCTCTCCATCCTCATCGGGCGGAGGCACCGAGCCCCCAGGTTGGGCTCCAGCAGAGAAGGGCCTGGGGGGAGAAGCAGCTGCTCCGTGGACTTGGATTTCCTCAAAGACAAAGGCAGGGAAGGCAGGAGGCTGTGGGTGGGCACCGATGGTCAGGACCCTCTGAGGAGGTGGCTGGAGTCCCCTCAGGAGTCCCCTGTCAGGTGGGTCCAGGTGGCAGAGGGCCACAGGGGAGGACACTGACAGGGTGAGTGTCATGGAAACTAGACGGTCTGGGTACAGTGGGCGGTTATTCTGGGGGTGAAGGATAGGAGCTAGCGGGGTGGACAACGGCGGGGGAGAGTAGTGAGGAAAAGTGGGGGCCCAGGAGGCACAGCCAGTGGGCACCGGTGGACAGAGGGGAGGCCACGGACGGCTCTAGGGGTCTCTGGACGCAGGGTGGGGGGAGGGAGCCCTGCCCTGGCAGAGTGTGGGGCTTTCCAAAGTCCACCAACGGCGCGCGCCAAGAGTGAGAGCCAAGGGGCTGTTCCCACTTGGAGTGTGTGGCCCTGTGGCCCGAGCAGGGTGTGCCTGCTCAGCAGCCCCAGGCCGGAGAGAAAAAGGGGTGTCTCAGGCTGAGGGGAGGGTCTCTGCAGCCTCCCACGTTTGTCAGGAGGCACGTGAGCAAGATGGGGGCTGGGGGATAAAAGCGCCCTGGTTCTGCCCTGCTGCTCCTGGGCGCAGACTGGGGCAGGTCGGGGGTCCACACAGGGCCTGGCAGGGGCCTGTCCATCTGGGATGATCCGGGGACAGTCTGTACTGAGGACACAGCACTGCCTCTGAGCAGGGGATGCAGCATCCTGCTTACAGACCTCCTGGACCCTGTAGCAACCAGCTGAAGGCCCCTGGGCTCACCTGATCTCGCCTGCTCCGCCCCACCTGGGTGGATGGAGCCTCTGCAGGTGGTGGGGGAAGGGGTGGCAGACACCACCCAGGATGATGGTGAGAACCAGCATAACCTGCCTCCTGTGTGGCTGGCCTCTGCCTTCATCACTTGCCTTCATGGTCGATGGCGATGCTGGGCCTAGCCTGCCCTGCCTGCGGCACGGGGACAAAACCCCTGACCTTGCAGCGAGGTCTGAGGAAGGAAGCCAGGCGGGCAGGGGGCCTGGCACATGCTGGCGGCCTAAAGTGGCAGCTCTCGTTCATCGTACAACGGCAGCTGGTACTGAGAGTGGCCTCCTGCTTTCCCAGGAAGTTCTCCCTGGACGACCTGCTGACGATCATCATGATTTACTGGACAACGGGCACCATCGTCTCCTCCCAGCGCTTCTACAAGGAGAACCTGAGAGGCGGCTTGTTGGCTGACAAGAACCACTGGTGAGCCTGCCCCCATGGCAGGGAGCACCTGGCTGGGACGCGAGGGAGGACGTTTAATGGCAGGAAAGCACGGCCTGGCCTGCGGGTGCCCTGGGTGTGCAGGCTGAGAGCACCAGCTGGCTGAGAGCCCAGGACAAGGGCCGGGATGTTTGGAGAAAGCGCTTTGCCTTTAGAATTAGCTCCTGGAATTGAGGGGGGTAGCTTTATGACTCCCTGTGGGTGGGCCAGCTAACACACACCCCCAGTCCCCTGAATGCCCTGCTGCGGGGGACAGGCTGCCAGGCACAGCCTACCCCCTCAGGAGTATCTCTGTCCCTTCCAGGATGAAGGTCCGGGTGCCCACAGGCTTTGCGGCCTTCCCCTGTGAGTTACTGCACGTCCCGGAAAAGTGGGTGAAGGTCAAATTCCCGAAACTCATCTCCTACTCCTACATGGCCCGTGGGGGCCACTTTGCTGCCTTTGAGGAGCCGGAGCTGCTGGCCCAGGACCTCTGCAAGTTCGTGGGGCTGGTGGAGCAGCAGTGACGCGTCACAGGGAGGCCCTGGCCCTTGGTGGCAGGCTCCCTCGCAGACACCTGCCCTCTCTCCTGGGAGTCCTGGCCTCCCAGGGCTAGCTACCCTCAGAGTAGCGCTGGCAGGGGCGCCTCCATCTTCCCTTGGTAAAGAGGCCCCTTACCTGAGACCCCTTACCCTTGCCGGGACCCCACGCTCACCACCTCCACGCGCACTTCCCCACACACATGTGAAGCAATGTGGCTTTGCTGATAAATGATTTTTGCTTCTGAAAGCGGCTGGAACCAAGTGATGTGTGGTGCCCCGACCCCATCTGGGGTTCCCCTTCCCGCAGAGCTGGCAGGTCCGCAGCCTGGGTTGGGGAGCGAACCCCATTCCGTCCTGGCCAGGGAGGGCAGGGCAAGCCTACTGGGGCCACCAGGACGCCGATCTGTCCCCTTCCAGTGCTCAGGGCAGCAGAGAGCAGTGGCCAGGGTTCTAAGTGATGCCCCAGATCCGCCCTGCTTGGGCCACCTCTGGGGATTAAGAAGCCTCCGGGGACCTGCCCCACCATGGGGGGCCCACTGGTGACCCTGGCGCCCCCTGGAGGCAGTATGAAGGCGGTGTCTCCGGCAAGTGTCCACAGTTGTCTCAGCCCCAGGACCTTTGGGTAGGGAAAGGGCAAGGGACTGCCCGTCCTCCCTACGGGGGTCACAGGTCAAGGGCGGCATACAGCCCTGCACCCAGCCCAGGCACCCCTCCTCCTCTCCCCTGCCGGTTCTCCCGTGGCTCCTCGGACACCCTGGGCACTACTCTGCCCCGTCACCCGCCCTTGGAGGGGGCAACAGATGGAGTCAAGGGCTGAAGATGGAGCCCCACGCACTGGCCCTGCAGAGGCTGGAAAGGCTGGGTCTCGGCAGTCTGGCTGAATGGGCACTTTATTAGTCGTTCACATTGTCCCTGACTGCTGCGGGGTGACCCTGAGCCAACCACATGTCACTGGCCACATGATACAAAAACAGGGAACCACAGAGGGGGGTGGCGGCGTGTGAGCCAGCAGAGCCTGCACCGGCCATGCCCGTGCTGCTCCCCGCTGCTCGCTCTGGGGACGGGCCGGCGGCACACGGCTCACTGCAGGGCGCGGGCGGCGGTAGCCAGAATGGCCCCGAGCACCTGCCAGAACCCGCCTCAGGCCTGGGCCTGCTGCAGCTCTTTGGTTATCAGCTGGGTCGGTGCAGGCTGTGTGCTCAGAGGGGAGTTCTTCTACCTGTCACATTCTCCCTAGTACCTGAGAGTCGCCCCAGCCAACCGGCCGGGAGGGGCACCATTCCAACACACGACCTTGCTAAAAATTACGGGGACATCACCCCGCTATAGAGGTGGACCCTGCCGAGGTGGAGTGGGAAATGGGCAGAGCCCGAGGGTAGGGAGCTGCACCTGGTCCCCTGCCCACTGCTGGGACCTGAAAGCACCACCGGATGGCAGTCCTGCCCCAAACCAAGGGTCAGAGTCCTTTCCTGGCTGGTTCCATTTCGTCAGAGCACTGGAGCTTTAAAAAGGTGGACGGAAGTCCTGAACTTGGTTGGAGTCAAGGTCGAGCTACTTCGGCACCTGGGACCGCTCACCTCCCGGCTCCCCGAGCCTGGCCCAGCCCAGTGGCTCGCCCGCCCTCAGGCCTGCTGGTAGGCCGCCGCCATGCTGTCCACAGGGCTGTGGGCCAGGCTCTGCCCAGGGACGGTCCCGCTGATGTTGTGGATGGCTCCATACGTCTGCTGCTGCTGTGGGGAGAGGGTGGTTCTCTCGGAGGCCAAGCCGCTCAGAATCCGGGGCACGTAGGGCTGCCAGCAAATGAGAGCGTCAGTGCTTGGGTGGGGCGGGCGCCAGACGCTGCCCTGTTTACCCCGTTCCTCCTCCACTGCGCCCCTCCTTCCAGGAAGCACACAATGCTCACAAAGGATGCACAAAGAAACACTGTCAACCTAGGACGTCACGACCCAAACTGTGCCCCCTGCAGGGCTGCTCAGCAGCCAGAGCAAAGCAGAAAATACAATCAATTACACAGTGCTCATGACCACAGAGAAAGAGGCACACACACCCATTTCTCAGAAGAAACAAGTTTTCATAGCGCTGGGTCCTGGGAGGGTTTCTCATTTGATAGGGGAAACAAGTCTATCTGCATAGGACAGGTTTAGAATGCTGTCGATGAGACTGCTGGAATGCTGAGCCAATCAGTGGAGGCCATTTCTCTTCCCAGCCCCTGGCTCCCGCTGCAAAGCCCTGCTCTGCTTCTCTCCAGACCCGGGCTGAGAGCAAGGCATTTCCAGTGTCCGTCTGCCCTGCCTCTTCCCTCATCTGGCAGGCACAGCCACAGGTGTGCCTCTGGGTAATGAGTCTTCCCCAGAACCTTCTCTGGAGCTGGTCCAAAGGCAAGCACTGATAAAGGAGGCTGATGCGTAGGAGGCAGCCACGGAAGGAACACTGCTGATGGGAGGGTCACTACCCCAGCCGCGGCCCTGCCAGGTGGCCAGTGGTCACAGCCCTGGGATCCTGTGGATCCCTTTTCCTCTCCCGGCCCCACCCTGGGAGCAGAACTCTGAAAGCCACAAGCAGGGAGAGCCAGGAAGGAAAGGAGACCTGGTATCTTTCTAAGACAGCGCCTGCTCGGAAGCAGGTGCCATGTTCGTCTGTTTAATTCAAAGAGGAGTTTCGGTTTTGACACCGCGGAGGGCCTCACAGCTGAAACGCTTGTGATAAGAGTCACCAAACCATCGGGCCGGGGATACTGCTGCACGGAAGGCCCGAACTCACAGGGTATTAAATATGCAGGGCAGGAAAGTGAGCAGGAAACTGAAACCAAGGGGGATGGGTGTGCATCCTGGCAAAACTAATTCTCTTCTCAGCGAGGGATGTGGCCTCACACACACAAATTAAAGCACCCAGAGGGCCCCGGGATCCCTTCTCAAGTGGCATTGATTCAGCAACCTGCCTGACACACGACCAAGGGACTTCTCTCTTAACAAGAGATGACCAAAGTGTGTTTGCCAGGCCCATCTGGTTGGGGCCGTCACCAGAACCATAACTTACTGTGTATGGTGGGGGCACGTGGGCCTGCGCCTCGCTTCCTTTGTCACTTGCCAATTCTTCTGTCTGCAGATAACAGCAAAAACTTCCAATGGTAAACAAAACTGATCTGTCTGAACTAACACTCTCCAAACAAGCAGACTGTTAACACCCAGAATAATAGTACCAGCTGGCACCAGGCTCCCAGCGGCAGCCCAAGAGGGGAAGGGGGAGGTGCAGTGCCTGGAGCAGGGAAGGGGGAGGGGAGGGGTGCCACACATCACACCCAACTACCCACGCCTTTCCTATGAACAAATAAAACCTGGCCTTCCCTGTGAACAAATAAAACCTGGAGAAGGCTGTTGATAGGTGACTGGGTGGCGAAAACCCCCATCTCCTCCCAGGTCCTGGCTGCGAGGCCACAGGGGGCGGGGCCCTTTACCTTGTAGTTCAGAGGGCTGAGGTGCTTGAAGCACCCAAAGCAGGTGTAGGCCAGGCAGACCAGGATGGTGAGCAGCATGACCAGGAAGGTGAACAGGGTGGCAGGAGCCGTCAGACCTGGGGACAAAGGGGTGTCAGTCTTAGAGAAGGAGGGAGGGGCTGCCATTGACCCTCTCTCTGCAACAGGAATTGTGGGCGACTGTTCCCTCAAGCAGACAATAAAGAGATGGCACGCCCCACCCCCTCAAGCAGCTGGGATGGTGTCTTCACAGCCAAGGGCACAGGGCCCACCGAACAACTGGCATCATCTCCGCTCGGGTTTCAGGCACCGGGATACCAAGACAATGGCTGTTTGCCAGCTTCCTTGTTGGGTCAGTTCCTTGCAGTCTCCTGTGTCCTGGGTTAGGTAGGGGGGCGGCTCCCCCAGCTGACTGGGGAGGAGTCACATACCCCTCCTGCCTTTTTCTTTTTCCCAAGAGGGTCTGTTTTCCCTCCTGCATGTCCCCCATGGTCAGGTGTGGAGACCTGGACTGGTCCACCACTGCCAAAGAGCAATCTGGACCAGCTTCCCCATCTCCTCAGGGTCAGTTCCTCCAAAGCTGATAAAGTGACCATCTTCTCTCTCAGGCTGTCTGGGCCCAGAGCTACACTTGAACTTGGGCTAGCTTAGGTTGTCAACATTGTCCCAGGCCAGCCCTCACCCTGGATGCCACATTCTGACTGGACACCTAGCCAGCCCCACTCTGGATGCCACATTCTGATTGGACATTGAGTCGATGCTGTTAAAGCAGCAAGGCATTTGGCTGGTGGTATGGATCTGGGAACGTGAGGCCGAGGGCTGCCTCCCTCCCCTTGCTTGGGTCAGCAAGGGCCCCTCACCCAGGCGCAGGAAGGAGAAGAAGTAGAGCCAGAAGAGGCACAGGATGGGAGCAGCCAAGGCCTGGTTCACAGCCGCGAAATGGATCCTCTTCTCCAGCTTGGCTGGGAGGTAGGCAAAGTAGAGGTTGTGCCGGTCCACCATGTGCTTGAGCAGGATGTAGATGAGGCCTGCAGAGAGTGGGCTGTGAGCCCTGCCCCCTTCCCCCTGGGGTGGCTATTTGTGCACGGAACTGGGGCTGGGGCTGCTATCTGACCACATGAACCAGAAGGTGGGCAAAATGCATAATGCACATCCTGGCTGCTAGTGTTCTTAATCTTCCTGTTCTCCACTCCACTCCCCTTCTCCCCTCTGCCTTTCTGGCCTCTTTCTGACTCCAAGGAGTGGAGGCGTCTGTGATTCTGTGCCCATGGGATGCTGACATTCTAGCATCATCTCAGGGAAAGTGGCTACTTTACGCTCGGAGGCCTGGCCTCTGCTTCCTCCGGGGCCCCTCTCCTGCTGGGCACCCCCAAGTCCCTCCAGGCTCTCACTCACCTTCCCTCCTCCCACCCAAGCTCACCTTCCACCCTCATCACAGTGGATGAGCGCAAGGATCTTACCCCAGGGACAGCACGTAAGGCGGGTGCTACCTTTTAGGTCAGGTTCTTAAAAATGTTTTGTTTTGTTTTGTTTTGCTTTGAAAGAGTGATACTGTATTTTAAACATATATAAGAGAGTGAACAGGAAAAACTAGAACCTCCCCCTATCCCTAAACCTTAGCTATCATTGCCAACGGTGCCTGGAGTGTTCTGTTTCCTTCTAGAGTCTTCTTTTTGTTGGCCAGTTCCTGATGTTTTATTTTAGTTGCAAGATCTGGGCCTATAAAATCGAAGAGTTCTAAGTCTGAATCTTGACTCTACTCCTCACTGACACATATCCAGGGCTTCACCTGTGACAGGCGACAGAGACAAGACCTGGCGTGTAGGACTGTGCAAGAAGTAGTATGATTATCCCCAGGGAGTGCAAGGGTGACTGGCAAGAGCAACAGCACGCATGACACCCTGGATCATTACTGCCAGCACCGTCTCAGCGCTGTTGAAGAATCAACCAACAGGGAAGTGATCAGCGGGCAGAGAGGCTCAGACCATGAGATGCACTAAGTGAGCCCATAGTTTGGAAGGCATGAGAAGTGAGGTTAAACTTGGTGTCACCTGTCGCTCTTTGCTAGCTTGTGGCTCCTGTGGTTACCAGAGATCCTCTGTTCGTGAGACCCCATAATGCCCTGTGATGGCTGTCTTGGGGTGCCACCCACCTACCCTGGCCCGGCTCTGGGGCCACTCACCAAATGGCGCGATGATAGGGCAGGTGATACTGTAGGCCATGATGACAGTGAAGACGCACAGCATCCACGCATACATGGCTCCAAACTCGAACTCGAAGGCCTGGTTCTAAGGGAGGAGAAGGCGGCAAGGTGCTTACAGGCGTGTTCCTCCCCTGACCACCCCTCGACGGCTCCCAGGGCTGAGGGGAAAGCCGGGTGACAAGGACTTCGGGAATGGGAGACTCACAGCTCCCCTGGCCTCTGAGGTCCTCTCTCTCCCTCCACAAGCTCCTCCAGCTTCACTCAGCTCACACCCAGACCTCCCACGGTGCAGTGATTCATGCTCCCTTAGTGTTTCCCTTGTCTGACTCATGCCTCCCCAGCAGGATCCGGGGCCCCTGGAAGGCAGAGATGGCGCACCCGAGGACAGACTGTGGAGGGATCCCCTACAGATTTTGGCATCAGACCGAACGTCAGCTCTGTCTCTTCTGGCGCCTGTCCTGGGCCACACACTTAACCTCCCTACGGTTCAGTCTGTGCATTTGCCAAGTCGGGCCCAAGTGCTGCCCGTCTCATGGGGCGTCCTAACAGTTAAATGAAAGAATGCAGCACATCTCTGACGTCCCTCTCACGGCACCCATATGGCAAAAGAAAATAAAAGAGAACCCACACTGCCCAATTTATCAACAAATGCCGCAAGCCCCAAATGCCTTTGGCATCTGTGATAATCTTATGCAAATGGGTACCCCCCAATAAGGAATGTGTTGATGTTAGAGGGGGGTGTGTGTGTGTGTGTGGGGGTGTGTGTGTGTGATATATCAGACTGGTTAAAAGGAAAAAACCCACACTCTCTCCTCCAGCTGGTGAGTTTAAATGGAGATTTGTGAAGACACGCCACTTTCAGGCAGCGTCTTCAGTGCCCGGCACAGAGCAGGGAGGCTAGGGAGAGGCCGGGGCAGTGGAGGGGGGAGCTCAGAGGGCAGTCAGCGCCGCCCCGCCCGCCCGACCAGCCCACACCTGCTTGACGTTCCTGCGGTCAGCAGCGGTCTTGGCCATGATCATGCGGAAGGTGTAGAGGATGAGTCCAGGCAGCCGCAGCAGCTCCATGCCGTTGCCAATGAAGGCCGAGGCGATGACGTAGTTCACGAAGAAGGCGCCCTGGTCCGGCAGGAAGACGCACCTGGGGACCCAGGGAGGGGTGTGGGCTGAGACCCAGGAGAGCCCCGTTTCCGGCAAGGAAGGGGGGCGTCCCTACACCCCCTGAAGCTTTGTACTCGGCCCTCCATTTGGCATGTGCATGAGCAAGCGGCACACAAAGCCCCTGACCCTCTTCCCATAGCGTTGCATCCTAGCTGTCTGCCAGGTGCGAGGAGAAGGACACAGGGCCGGCGATGTTTACTGTGTGACACATGCGGTCAGGGCAGGGCGGCCGCCTTTCTGATAAGGTGACTCTGTGCAGAAAGGTAAAGAGTGAGCTCATCTAGAAACCGTGGAGAGAGCATCCCAGACAGAGGAGACAACAGGTAATGGCTCTCGGGGCCGTGTGCCTGGCATGGCCGTGGGACAAAAGGCAGGGGCTGGAGAGGACAGGCCAGGAGAGACGAGCAGACTGAGGGCAGGGTGTGAGGAGCGGGGGACCACACAGAGGGCCACTCCCGTCGTCTGTGAGCGGCACACTGGCGGCAGCGGGGGCAGGTGAACATGGTGGCACTCTGGGTCAATCTAGATCGTCAAGGTTTGCTGATATCGGGGTGTGGCACGTGAGGGAAAGAGGGGAGGCAAGCAGAACTCAGAGGGCGTTTGCCAGAGCAACCAGAAAAACAGAGTCATGGGCGTGGGATCAGCAGATTTGGGGATAAAAGTCAGGGGTTTGGGTTCAGGCAGGTAAAGTCTGAGATGCCCAGCGGAACCGCAAGTGAGGCTGCGGCAGTCAGTGACAGACGAAGTCGTGGGGCTCAGACTGTTATAAATGTGAACGTCGCCCACATATTCTATTCAGGCGTAGTCAGGTGGCACCAGAGCCGTGCATCCAGCTGAGGTCTCCCAAGGAAGGGGTGTGGACGGAGCGCTGAGCCCCCAGACAATGATATTCAGAGCTTGGGGAGATGTTAGAGCCGGCCCAGGAGGCTCAGAGGGGAGAACCAGGAGAAGGGAGAACCAAAGCCAGCGAGGACAGCGTGTCAAGGAGGAAGGCACGAGAAATGTCTCAGGTGGCGCTGACAGATCCAGTAACACGAGGACTGGGAGCTGACCACTGCACCTGGCAGGCTGCGAGTCACTGTCAACCTAGACAAGAGCTGGTTGGGTGTCTGCCTGTCTGTCTGAGGTGGCCAGCTCCCGAGTGACCAGTGTACCCAGCAAGATCCCATTGACACTAATTCAGCCTCTCCTTCCAAAAAATCGCAGCCAGCCTTCCCCATAAACAGCTCTTTGGGAAAATCCATCAGGAGCCTGAGAGCTCATTTCAGGACCTAAAGTTTAGTGCAGTGGGGGAGAAGGTTCCATCCCAACTCTGTCTCTTAACCAGCTGGGTGACCTAGGGCAAGTGATGCAACATCTCTGGGCCCCAGTCACCTCATCTGTAAAATGGAGATGATGCTATTTACCTCATAAGTCGCTGTAAAGGTGAAATGAGAAAAAGAGTAAAGCATTTAACATACTGCCTTCTTATACAATGAGTATTCCTGTTAAGTGGTCATGGTACAAGCTCAAAATACTAATAAGGACATATATCAGAAATAAGTTTAGCCCTGGCTGGTGTGGCTCAGTGGATTGGGCGCTGGCCTGCGCACCAAAGGGTCACTGGTTTGATTCCCGGTCAGGGCACATGCCTGGGTTGCAGGCCAGGTCCCTAGTAGAGGGTTCATGAGAGGCAACTAAACATTGATATTTCTCTCCCTCTCTTTCTCCCTTCCTTCCCCTCTGTCTAAATAAATAATCTTTAAAAAAAAAAAAAGGTTGAACTCCATTCCCCTGGCAAAATTACTCCTGGTGACAACGTTAATAATTATTCCCCATTCCTGCTCCATGCTCCACCAAGAGCCAGCAGTTCCTTTCCCCCAGAGGCTCTGTTCTCGGTAAATAAGTTTCAAAGAATGAATGAGCCTGAGACTAATTGAGCCTCGGCCTAAAAGATTAACCACATTTTTGCACACGCAGCACAAAATGGGCCAGCTCCCATGGTGTGCCCACAGGCTCTGCCTGGCCTCGGCCCCGCCAGGAGCCTGGCAGGGAAGGTGGGGAAGACCAGGCCCCATGGTCTCAGGGAGGAGACGTGTTCTGAAGCATGGACGGCCCGCCCACAATGGGGCCCAGCCCCCACAGGACGCTTACCCAGGACCGCAGCCCCAAAGCTCAACATGGCTGATACTCACTCCAGTCTGATGGACGCCTCGGAGGAGGTTTTGTCAAAGAGCCACCGGAAGAAAAAATCCAGACTGGAAGACAAGTGAGTTCCATAAGAACATATTCCCAACGCTCCATGTGAGCACTACACACATTCTCTTTCTTCTGCTCTAAAAACAAGCCAAATCGCAAGATCTACATTCATCCTTTTAAAATGCCACTCACTATGGTGTAACACACGGGGGCCTACTTTAACAGAAACTTCCTTTCTGGGGATGAACAAAGCCAGGATCAGCTCCTCCCAGTAAATGGAAGGTCATGATAAAATTTGTTCTCAAGCTTTTTAAAAACTAGTATATTTTTAAAGGAAGAGCGATGGAATGTCCAGGAGAATCAGTGGGCCGGCGCAACTCCACTCCACTCCAAGTGGGTACGGTGGACTTAAACGTTGTCAGGGGTTTATTGGCATCCACTGCAAAGCCGTTTCCATTCTCCTGGGCACAGCACTCTCCAGAAGTGACCCTGCTTCTGAATCTAGAGCAGGAGGTGGCGGCAAGTACCTGGTGAGGCCGAGGGAGGGCAGGATCAACACCATGAAGATCAAGAATATGTAGACCTTGGTCATCATGATGCGGTTTTCCCCCGACCTGCAGGAAGGCAGAGGTGAGCACTCACAAGCCCCGGGACCCCAGGTGGCCCCAGTGCGCCGTGGGCCCATTGCCCTGCGGCACGGGGGCCGAGCTCCCGGCACTCACTTGGTCCAGTGAGACTCCAGCAGCGTGGAGTAGTAGACGATGGATGGGAGCAGGGCTGAGAAGGACCACAGGAGCAGCGTCGGGAAGAACTGGCTGATGATTGGGTCCTGGAAGACAAAGCGCACAGCAGAGAGTCGGGGCTTGGAAACCATGACCGACTGGCGTGGCGGCTCAGTGAACTGCTGGAGTTGGGGTTTGGCCACCTGTGACCCCCAGAACCAACACTGTGCCTGGTCCATACTGTTGGCTGAATAGACAACAATAGCACCTTACATTTGTATAGTTATATGCACACTCTATAGAATTAAGGCAGCAGCTTCACATATAATTGAAGTCCCCTTGTCTTACTCCCCAGATAGAGAACGTTCTCCGTTCCCTATAGAAAACCAATGGTAATGCCAAGGGAAGGGGGAACGCTGAAGGTCAGGCTCCCTGCCCAGCTGGCCTGCCCGCTCAGCTCCCAGTGGCCCAGTCGGGACTTAAACAGGGCTGCTTCCTGCTCTTTCCCAAACCTGTCTATGCCCATTGTACTTGTTACTGCCATGACATGATTTGATGAACTTCCCACTTTCCCTGATTAAATGAGCACAAAATTAGAGAGAAAAATTCTTTGAAAATTAAGTCAGATACTTTGGAAAGACCTGATAAAGGCCAATTCCTTGAAAATGCTGTTGAATAAGATGAGACTAAATTAACTGTAAAAGGCCAAGGGAAATGAAATCTAGGAGGGTTCTATCCTTAGAATGGCTTTGCAAGTATCTAAATCCTTGCTTTGCTGTAAAAAACTGAAACTGGAATCACAAACAATGAAATAAGCATACAGTGTGTGTACAGTTGACAAAGGGGAATTCCAATCAGCAGATGCACCCGCAGAAGGACAGGCCCTGACCAACATCACGAGACTGGCAAAGAAATTAACGCTTACGTGCTTTATATCTAGACAACGCTGCTTAACGCACACTACACGGCTTTATTATACGCTGAGTCAGATGGGAGAGCTTCAGCCACACACTACACCACACAACCACCATCACAACCGTCCCATGGACATAGGATGGCAAATGTTTTGACTCGTTTTTAGATGAAAAGCCAAGGTTCAGAATTCATCAGCGAGGGACTGGCAGACCAAGGACGGGGGCCTCAGGCCACCGGCTCGGCGTGCTTTCCCAGACTGTGATCAACCCAATGCCAAGTGGAACTGGAGAGAAAAAATATTGAGGGTGATGCTTCAGAAAAGCCGCCATCTTTTAAAGTCAACGCAAACGTAGGGAGTGTTTAGCTGTTATCGCATCAATGCAACTGAGATTTCTAAAAGCCACTCATTGCCTATCTAGAATCGGTGACTTTACAACAAGATTATCAGAAACTGAAATGCGAAAGAAACATATAATTCATGGTTCTGCCGCCCCAGTCCAAGAAGCTCGTTTCACGCCTTCCCGCCCACTCCCTGTGGTACCCATCATACACCCGCATCACTGGCTGCAACCACTGCTCAGAGACAAGTTACATTCCGTTTTTAGCATAAGCCCCCAACGTCCACCACAAACTCTATACAGTTTTTCAATAGATGCTTTCCATGCTACCAGACCCAATATATTTCATTCAACTCAAATGAGACCTACTGATGAGTATTTAGATTAATTCTACATATATTATATATCCATTATGCATATATGGACATGTATTAAATATAATTTTATATTGATTATATATGCTTTATATATAATCAGTGTGTGTGTGTGTGTGTATTTATAACGTCTAAATTACTAGAAGACCCTGTACTAAATGTGGCCATGTCTGCTTAGGGCTTAAAAACAAAGACATGATATATATATATCTATGTATGTGTGTGTGTCAATTATACCTCAATTTAAAATATTTATTTATTTATTTGAAAAATAGCAGACAGGAGCTGAGCGACATGACATCCTGGCTCATTGTCCCCCACATCCCTTGGCCCCAAACCTCCCCCACGCACTATGCCCCATTGCACGAGCCCCCTGCGACGGGCCTTGCAGAATGAATGGTCACTCACATTCAGTGCGTGGATGGGTTTGGTGACATTGAACTTGTCCATGGTGGAGAGGATGATGGAGGGCGTGGTCAGGAAAAACAGCACCAAGAAGAGAGTGAAGTTGATGCCCAGCCACTGGAACCACCAGCGGAGGCCCTGGATGGAGAGGTTCTTCCTACAGGGGAGAGAATACAGGCTCTGGAGGCTCCTCTCCCAGGATCCGGCCACCAGCCATGCCAAGAGTGCCCGCCCCTGGCTTAGTGGGGGCCGGAAGGTCCCAGTGAGACAAACCAAGAGACTAGCATGAGGACGCTGGCTTAGGGCTCATTTCGCCATAGGAGCACAGATACGTTCTCTGCAGTGACCTTCAGCTATAGGAAGGTGAAATTTCAGGGCTCTAGGAGCTCAGAGGGAAAACAAGTTATTCACTGCTATTGAATTGATAATATTTTAGATCTACAGAGAGAGGTAATATTACTAAAATAATAATCAACTTTTTTTTTTTTTTTTTTTTACTCTTTTAATGTGTCCCCCAAGCTGAGGTAAGGGACACTTGACTGCACTGTCCGATATAGCTGCCTAGCCACGAGACACATGTGGCTCCTGAGCACTGAAACGCGGCCCTTCCAGGCTGGGGGCTCACCAGCAGATGTCCTCGGGGTAAGTGGCAAAGGCAACTGTCCACTTGGAGATGCAGAGCTCTCGGCTGTAGGAGGACGGCTGGGGCTCGCCTTTGCACCCCAGGCCCTGGCACTTGCAGGCGTTGAAGTCTTTGAGGATGCTGCCAGGAAGCACAGACAGGGCCAGGGCTCAGACCCCCAGGCGCTGCGCACAGACACGGGGCCGCGCCAGCGTGGGGGCCTCCTGGCGCAGGACCTTTGCTTTATAATTATTACTTTATTATAATCAATGCTATGAAAGAGACAACCGGCTTGGCACACCAGGTGGAGGATTTTGTTTAATCCTCAGAACAACGCTGCCAGCCAAAGATTATTGTTCCTGTTTTACAGATGAGGAAACCGAGGCTCTCCAAGTCGGGCTTCGGCTCCCATGCTGTTCGCGCTGCCCCTGCTGCCAGTGGCTTTGCCCTTCAGTTCTCTCATTCACTGCCCAGGCCCCACAGCTGCCGTCAGACCGTGTTACATGAGGCGTGTTCTCATTCTGATCCAAGACGTCCCTCCCTAGGACACCCACCTCAACCCTCTCCAGCTGCGTGGGTCCTACTCTTTCCTCCTCCGTCTTCCATAAAGTACCCACCAGCTACCCCTGCTGCTGTCCCAGAACGTTCTTCCTCTTTCTGCTGGCCTCCGCCTGGCCCCAGCCTCACTTCAGGGTCTGCTGGACACGCCCAGGACACCCTTCCCAGAGCCCATGATGCCCAAGGCGGGGAAGCCTTTCCCTTGGCCACTTCCTTCCCATGTCCATCTCCTGACCCGCCCCCTCTGCTGCTCCCAAGAATCGATGACACCGAGACCTGAGGCACGAGGGCGCTCTATGTGCCAGACCCCAGACCGAGAGACCCCACCCAGGACCAGGCTCCCCACAGCAGGGAGCAGCCTAGAGGGCGCAGGCACCCATCCTGGAGGGGCCTGGGACACTCACTAGGTGGCCATGGACTTTTCCTGGAAGGTGACGAAGGCCATCCCCAGGGGCTGGTCCTGGACCCTGCACTCCTCCTCCGCGATCTTCTCCGCCAGCCTGTCCTTCATGCACGCGTAGTAAGAGATGGCGTCCTCCTGCCGGAGGGCACATCCCTGTGAAGATGCGGCCCCGTGCAGGGGGCGGGGCCCCAGTGCCCACAGGTCTCCGGGGTGCGGGCCTCACCCACTCACAGCCCTGCACTTCACAGCAGCAGAACTGGCCACAGGGCTTGGGGTTGATGAGGGTCCGCTGGCCTGTCTTCACCTGCAGGTTTGTGTAGTAGGTCAGGCTCTTCTCGGTCTTTTTTCTGCATTTGGGGAGGAAGGGGACACACCTCAGACTATCAGTCCTGTGGCATGAACCCCATGTCCTCCATTCGGCCATCAGTGACCACCAGGACTGCGAGTTCAGCTTTCTGAATAAGAAAAGGGCAGAGCCCCCCTCCTCCCTTCCCACGGGGGAACCGAGGCGGTCGAGGAAGGAGGGTGGGCATCTCAGAGGGGAGGGGTCAGAGAGCTGCACCCGCCGCCCACTCGTACCTCTCCTGGCACAGGTGCATCAGCTTGGCCACATTGTAGCACAGCCGGGCCTCCACCACCTCACACGTGGGGTACGCATCCCTGCATCCAGGCCGCGCCACAGGCAAAAGATGGCATTGGGAAAGGGAACCCCCAGGCAGGTGAGTCCCCCCACACCTCCACGGGTAGCAGAGCGATCACCCTGCAGTGACATTTTCTCTTCCTCCTTTAGCACCAGCAGAGCCAGCGCAGAGCGGCCGTTCAATGCTGGTGGGGCAGGATCTCAGATCTTACCCAGGTGCCCAAGTGGAAGATGTTAAGGCACTTGCCCAAGGCACCTGCCCCATGGGACTGTGTGCTCCCACCTGGAGGGGCTCACTCCCCTTCCGGCCCCAGCCCTGCTCACCGGAAGTGGCTCTCCACAGCCTCCTTCGTGGCGTGTCTGGGGAGTCCTGTGATGAACAGGGTCCGCCTCACCTGCCGGAGAAACACACCAGGGAGCAAAGTCACCGGGACGAGGCAGACTCAGGCCCCCCTTCTGCGGCCTGGCAGGGCCCTGAAGTGTGATATCTACACAGCCCTTTCTTCCCCGCTGCACAAGGACATTTTCAAAGCAATTCTGTGAGCCTCCTTTGCATGACTGGGGACTGAAAAAGCACCCAGAGAGAGGAAGTGGCTCAAATAAGGTCACACAGCAGAGCAGGGGAGGACCCAGGCCTGGAACCAAGTAGCAAAAACTGCCTCCTGCATCAAGCTCTGCGTTGCAACGAGAAAGGAGGCTGATCTCAAACTGAAAGTCTTAGAAGTTACTGGAAGTCTTGGAAGAATCAGGAACGACAAGCCCACATCCCACAAATCTTAGGGTTAGCTGGTAGAATGAGGGAAAGCTATCTAAATCCTAAAACAATCTCTCAGAAAAAAAATTTTAAAAAGATAATGCCACGTTTCAGTGCAACTACACAAGCCAGATTCCACAGAGGGCCCTGCTGGGGCTCACCGCTGCCATCCACCTGAGGAATAAGCTTCGGGGGGCACATTGCTCTCCGCCCCCACCTGGGCCCCTCCCCAGCCCCTGCCCCGCCCCCGCCCCACTCACCAGGTTCTCTTCTTTGTACTTGATGGACTGGGTGTGGTGCCGCATGAAGCCCACGGTGAGGAAGAGGTAAATGACAGCGAAGATGGTATGCAGCCAGAGCAGGTTGTTGCTGAGAGTGGACACCACCTGCCATCAGGGGTGGGCTCCCAGGCAGGGGACAGGGGTGCAAGGGCCAGGACTAAGCTACCTTTACGCCACTGAGCTGAGGACCAACGGCTTCATCACAAGAGGCTGTGCGGCCAGTGCCCCCTTAGAGATCCCTGTCCTGACAAATGCACTCAGATACCTGGTTTCGTTGAACCCCCTCAAAAGAGCAGCTGCTTATGGTGGGTTGGTGCCTGGAGCCCAGCTTCACACCTGCTGCAAAGGGGCTTTCAGACAGTAGCCCACCCCCTTTGGGCTACCTCTGGCCCACCGGGGCTCCAGGATCTGCCTTCTCCTTGGCCCCACCCATCAGCACCCTCATACCCTTCCACCCCTACTCACTCAGTCCGTAGATTTGCTATTGTCGTCCTCCCAAAATTGTAATGGTCTTTGTCTGCAGAGAAGCACAGATACTTAGTTCCTGGGTCACAATGGGGAATGCGAGGGGGCATCACCAGCGCCCCCTGACCGGGAGGAGCACAGGCGGCCAGACTAGTGGACAGTGACGCCCGTCTAGGGTGTTAGAGCTCCCCCGACCAAGGCCTCTGCTTTACCCCAAAAGGATCCCTGACCACCTCTCAACCCATCGCGGGGGTACAGCCAAAATTTGACTTCATCTTGCTTTGAGATATTTGTGGCGTTACTTGAGAAATCTGGAAGATCCTAAGCTGTTCTTAAAACCAAAGCTGGTGATCCCTGGGCGTAAGAGGTGGAATCACAGCAGCATTTTGGAAGCTAGATCCCTTGGGCTCGCTTGGGAATAATAATTCTTGGCTCTGATTTTGACTTTGAACACTAGATAGGTCTCCTGGACCCACCGAGGGTGGCCTCCTGTTCTGGAAGGGCGCAGGAAAATATAAAACTCTTGGAAGCCCGTGATTCTGTGTGGGGTTCCCCCCCTACTTAGAGCCACAAATTGATATTAGAGGCCTTGGGGGGGGGGGGGTTCTTCTCCGGATTTTTAATCAGATGGAAAAGTCCAGAAAGTCACCCTGACACCTTCTTTTTTTTTTAATTTAAAAAAAAAATTTTTTTTTTTATTTACTTACTTTTGGAAAGGGGATGGGAGAAAAAGAGCGAGAGAAACATCAATGTGTGGTTGCCTCTCAGGCACCCCCACCTGGGGACCTGGCCTGCAACCCATGCATGTGCCCTGACTGGGAATGGAACTGGCGACATTTTGGTTCACGGGCCGGCGCTCAATCCACTGAGCCACAGCAGCCAGGGCAACCCTGAGACCCTCTCACATCTGAGCATGCACTGCCTCCACCACCCGGGGCCCCGTTCCCAAGGCCTGCAGCTCTGACAGGGCCCAACGCCACAAGAACAGCAACAGTAGTTTACCGAGCAAATCACCGGAGAGGTTGACGGGCAGGATGACGCCCAGGGACAAGAGGCTGACCACCACCAGCAGGAAGATGATGTGCCTCTGGAAGGACAGATAGTGGATGGCGTCCTCCCCACACCACTCCAGGATCTGGTCGTCGCTGGTCAAGACACACGCATGGAATCTGAATGAGCAGGCGCCACAGGCCAGGCCCTCGGAGCCTCGCACCGCTGGTCTCCTTTAACCCCCGTGACCATCCCGCAAGGCAGGTTCTGATTTTGTCTCTGCTTTTCGACATACAAGTACGCAGAGGTATGGAAAAGTTGCACGGCTTTTATAATCACACGGCTTGTAACAGAGGAGCCACGAGGAGAGCTTCAGAGCCTTACCCCAAGGCCCCGTGCCCTGACCCTGAGCTGAGGAGCCTCCTACCACTCCGCTTGTGGCTCTAGAAACATCCATGCCCGCATCAGTCTGGGCCTCAGAGGTGTAGATACGATGTTCCCACACCCTTCCCTGTTTCTAGGAACAAAGCCACTGGCTGCAGGGCTGCCAGGAACCCCCTTCTGAAGCTCCCAGCCTGCCCCTGTCCCCCCTCAGCCAAGCTGGGAGACAGAGGTGGAGACACGGTGGCTCAGTTCCTCCCGATGTCCCTGCCGTGACCCTAGCAATGGGAGGTGACCTGCTCCGCCCTGTCCCACCCTCAGTACTGTATTTGGAGGTTCTGGGTCATGTGGGGACCCAGAAAATTCTGGATTCTGACAGCCAGACTTCCATGGGAGAAGGGGTGTCCCCTGAGGGTCCTGCTTCCAGAAAGCTAGGAAAGTGCCGCCCTGGGAAGAGCTCGGGGAGGCATGAAAAGGCAGATCTGAAAGGTGTGGTGCGTCGGCTTGGCAGTCAGACAGGCCACCGTGGAACCAGCTCGGCCACTCAGGGAGCGGGTCACGGGACTCACCTAAAGCAGGGAGGGGACTACCTGCTGGCTACCTGGTGACTCAGCAGGGCAACGAGGGCCGTGCGGGTCGGACACCGGGTGCCCTGCTGGTGCCGGGCGCGCACTCAGATGTGTGCTTGCTAAGGTTCCTCCTTTTCCCTAGTGACTGCAGGACAAAGCTTTGCAGTTAACCCTGCTGTTTTCCCTTTGAAATAAACCACTGACATGCACACACTTTGCCACAATCCATGCTGACTAAACCAATGCTGGTAAAGTTTCAAACCAACAAATGAGCGACGCCCGGGACAGTTTTTCCTGAGCTGTTCTTCTGGCTTCCCTGTTCTGCTGGGGAAAGGCAATTCGGAAGGAAACTGGGAGGCCTTTTTACATGTCTGTTGTAATATTGGCTGTGAGTGGCTATTAAAATTTAATGACAACTTTAAAAAAGCCAAAGGGTAGTCCTCCCCAGGGCTAGAATGGAAGAGAACAACAATGGGAGTGGACAAGCAGAACGTGTCCGATGTAGCATTAAAATGGCAAAGCGAAATACACAGCTGCACCCAAGTGACAGCCCCACTCAGTGAGAAATAGGGTCCCCACGGACAGGACTGCTGGGGACATGGAATGATGAAAACAGTGGGCAGGGACAGGGGAGCACTTCAGGACCAATCTGTTGAGCCTTTATTAGTTACCATGGAAACAATGAGTCAAAGTTTCTGGTTTTGCCCCATGGGGTCCAGGCTAAGAGCCCCAACCAGCAGTGGCTCTGGAGAGTGGCCGACCCAAAGTAGGGTTATGGGTGACTTAAAATGTCTTCCTATTGAGTCTCATCTGTATGTGCTGGACTTTTTGCACAAAGCATGTATTACTTCCACTACTGGGAGGAAATGTGTCCTAGTGACCTGATTTTGTGGTGGGCATCTCCGCCTCTCCCACCTCTGTTCCCTCCCTCCCTGAAATGCCTTCTCCTACTTCTTCCTGCTCCAGACCAGCGTTCACTGGCTGCTTCTATAGAGACTCCGCCTCCTGCCTGTTCCTCTGGGGAAAACGCCCCCCGAACTCTACCATTTATACAGCATGTATTAACTCATTTGGATTAGGCAGAATAGGTGTCATCCCCCACACCTTTTAATAGCTGGGGAAACTGAGGCCCACAGAAGGGATTTGCCCAATGTCCTGAAACTACCACATCTCATCAGTTCTAAGATGCCCTTTTCCTATGTCAGTGACCATAGCTGACTGCGGCTTAACGGGCAGCATTTTCTCATTCCTAGGACCATGTCAAATAACGTGCAACTAGCGACGATGGCTTTTTGGATTTGATGGAATCCCAGAGTCACACCTCAGCCCCTTCCACCGCCTTGGAGGCGGCTAATCAGCTCACACCACCAAGTACCTCTTTTAGGATGTCTCTCCACAGGCCCCAAGTTTTGAAAAAAAAGAAAACTCTTAAGCCAAGGAGCTGAATGTATCAAGCAATCATTACTTCTCCACTTTTCACTTGTTCAAAGACACAGAAAACTGTCTATAGAAACTTCTGTTCAAGGGTATCCATGTGAAATGCGAAATATATATAATGCCTGCCCAAAGCACAGCATATTTAATTAGCTTGTGCAGGGGCTGCCTGGGCCAGCTTTGTTCTCAGCCCCCTATATGGCTTTGAACCTGAACTGAAAAAGTACCTAAGAGACCCTATCTCCAGGTCAGGCATCCTGGCTCTTTCCTCCAGGCTAACCACACACACACACACACACCCCCCGCCCCCCAACTCACTGCCACTGGAAGATTGCCGCCAGCCAGGCCACACACACACACACCCCACCCACCCACCCACACATCCACCCACCCACCTGTACTCACTGCAGCCGGAAGATTGCCGCCAGCCTGGCTAAACACACACACACACACACACACACACACACACACACACACAGAGCTGTACTCACCACACACACACACAGAGCTGTACTCACTATACACACACACACACACACACACACACACAGAGCTGTACTCACTACACACACACACACACACACACACACACACACAGAGCTGTACTCACTGCAGCCGGAAGATTGCCGTCAGCCAGGGGCAGCATCCCTGCACACAAAGAGGTCAGAGATTAGCTTCGAGCATGTCTGTCTTTGGGAGAAGATATAATTGTCATCTTAGACAATAACAGCCATCTAACTTCCCCTCGTATAAAAACAGCACTTTGGCCCCCAGTTCAGCAAGCCCCAAACATGACAGAGTCTGCACACTCCCAACCCTTCCTGATGTAGGTTCCATGTCTGGGATTCTCGCAAAAACCTCTCAGATTTGACAATCTGTGGAATTACACAGGCTCCAGGGTCCAATCATGAAACCAGATCAACAGTTGATAGAAACTTAGGGAAGCTCTGGAGAAACTGGTGTGGGTTTCTGTTTGTCTCAGAAGGAGTGAATGGGCTCTGGCCGGTGTGACTTAGTGGATTGAGCGCAGGCCTGTGAACCAAAGGGTTGCTGGTTTGATTCCCAGTCAGGGCACATGCCTGGGTTGTGGGCCAGGTCCCCAGCAGAGGGCATGTGAAAGGCAACCACACACTGATGTTTCTCTCCCTCCCTTTCCCTAAAAATAAATAAATAAAAACTTTAAAAAAAAAAATAGGAGTGAATGGGACATGGCACAGGAGAGCCCTGCAGTGGGATTTACAGAGGGAAGCAGGTGTCTGCCGGTCTTACTGTCCACTGAACTCCCTAAAGCTGCACTATTACCCAGCTTTATGGACCTTTATTTGAAGACAAATATTTGTTCATCATTCACTTGACAATTACTAAGTACCTACTACTGGGTGTCAGGTGATAGGAACAGCACTGGGTAAGACATGGTTCCCGCCCACATGTGACTCACGAACTAGCAGGCAAGTCAATAATTCATTGTCACACGTGGGGATTCCAAAGCCCTCCATCTGAGGGTCATCCAGCTGCCATCTCCCCTGTGGCATTTACCAAGCCCAAGTGACTTTGTCAACACAGAGCAGAGCTCTTACCCACACTTGCCACTCAAGATCCAAGATACTGTTAGCACCCCCACAGGAACACCACTGCGGTCTCCCCGCTGATCCGCTACTGCTGGCCCCTCCCCGCCCTGCCGGCAGCAGCCACAGCTGTCCCTTAGATACCCACCAGCTCACTCTCAAAGTCTTGCTGCCCTAGCGAGGAAGATGACGACAATCTCTGGAATCTGGACTCACTAGAAACACAAAAGGAAAACAACATAGAGAGTTCTTTTTTAAAAATCTAAAAACTGATGTCCAGTATCCTGCTGCCTCATAGAGCTCAGGACTGAAGCTACGAGCCCTCAACAACTGGGACAAAATGTAACTCACCCTGTGAAAACTATAGGCAAGGGCAGTGACCGCTCCTCGGTACGTAAGACATAAAACTCTGCTACATGTGATCCCAACACGGGGTCGGGTCACCCTTGACCCTCAGCACCATGACCGGTGTACCTCACTTGACTTCACAATGTTGCTTGTTCACAAGATATTTCCTAATAGAGCAGATAAAATGGGTATCCTCCTCTTCAGCTGATTTTTGAAACCCTTAATTATCTAAAGGAACAAGATTTCCTCCTCAGCCTGAAGCCAGCAGGGTTCATGGCCATGGCCAGGCCAAAGCCCCAGTAGGGAGCTGCGCCTGTGGGCCTTGGTTTTCTCGTCAGCACAAGGAAGGTCACATGGCTGACCTCATGGGTCTGTAGTGCAGAGCAGGCAGACACAGCGTCTGGTCCCAGCCTGGGAGGTGCACTCTGTGACCATGACGCCACACCAGCGTCGTGTGTGGGTCCTGCCTGGTGGGCTTCGCAAGCCCCCAGCCCGCCCCAGTCTCCCCGCCTCACACACATGCACTTAACTCACATTCGAGGTAACGTCTTTTTTACCTGCCTGCTTCTGACACCAGGGCAATGCGCCCATAATCCCAGAATCTTCTTCTTATGATGGAAAACACCAGTATTAAAAACTAGAAGTAGAAAAGAAACCAAGAGAAAGCACATTGAACGGCTCCTAATGAGAAGAGACGGCTGCTTAGCGGCGCCCTCCCGGGCAGGCACGTTGGCATCGGCGGCCCTGACCCGCCTTCAGCTGCCCCTGAGCAGGAGGGCCTGGCCGCACGGCAGCCCCGGGGAGTAACTTTACTGCACTTCTTCGCTTTATGTTGAATTTCATTCTTAATTACAGAACCAAGGTAGCAGAGCACTCAGGCAGAGCCGGAAGTTGGGGGAGTGTTTTCAAAGGCAGGTGAGTCACATTGTAGGATAAAACGAAGGCTGCTCAGCAGGGCCTGCCCTCTGAGTCCTGACTGCTGCTTTCTCAGCGTGGGGGGTGGCCACGTCCCATGAGCCCAGGTCTTCAGCCTCCACCACCCCCTGCTCTTCCATGACGCCCCCTCAATATCTCCCTGCAATAAAAATGCACCCCCACCAGCACACTCTCCTGGAGAGCAACTCTCTCTTCTCAACCTGCCCTGTCCAGACGTGCCCCGCCCAGCCCGCCTAGGGTCCCTGCCCGGCCTCCCTCCCCAGACTTCTCGCCTTGGCCCCCTCTCCCCTGCCTGGGGACGCTGCATTACCGCTCCAGGGCCTCCCCCTGCATGAACCCCGGCACCCTCAAACCCACCGCCGCACTCACTCCTGCCCGCTCTTCCCTTTCAGCAGAAACCGGTCTATGTGACAAACGGGGTTTAGCCCCAAGACCTGGCTGATTTCACACTGAAGGAGCCCTTTTCCATAACAACATGAGGAGCATGCCAGTTGCCACGTCAGCCCATAAAGGACCAACAGTGAAGCCAAACTAGAACACACATACTTAGACCTTAATCCTGGGGACCAAACTGGAAAGGAGGGGGAAAACCCCCACCCCCGGCCGTTAGACTGTTTTTTGTGGCTGCAAACTTGTTTGATACCTGCCTCTTTCTCTTGGGAACCCAGACACTCATGGTACCCTGACTCTCGCCCCCACAACCCGCCACCTGGCCTCTGGCCCAAAGCCAGCCTGGGATGCCTACCCCCTCTGCCCCCATCTCACCGCATTCACTCATATGGGATGTTAGCAGCAGGCACCAAGAGGGGCCAACCAGCCCATCGGTGTTTGTGCCACGAAGGTGCCCCTCAGTCCCAGGAAACTTCCCCCAGCCCATGCTGAGTCAGTATAAGGAAGAAAAATGGCATACTTCAAACTGGGGGGATCTTTGGGAACAAGAACAGACTGATAACTCAGTGACAACAGTAATAACCAAAGGAACAGTGACCTGTGTCGTTTCCATACCTTGCCCTATTTAACCTCTAAACTCTCTGAAGTAAGAATTATTAGCTCCATTTTACAAAGCAGAAACCCAAGGCCCAGCCTACGTACCCATGGTCACAGAGCCATAAGTAGCCGAGTTGGGAGAGAAACCCAGGTACATCTATCTGGCTCCTCACCTGAATTTCCCAGAAGGCCCTGGGTGGGGGCTTAAATAAGCAAATAGCTCTAGGGGCAGGGTCGGGGGTGAGGGACATGATTCACCGGGGTCTTACCAGAAAGCAGCTGACATCCAGGAGCAGAACAGTGGGGATGCCACCGAAGGCGACCCCCTGGAGCACGGTGCTGTTTTTGGCTGAGTTGTAGCAGTAGGCGTCATTGGGCTGGTCCCCGATGCCCAGTCGGTCCCGGATGGACACCGCCTTGGACTGCCACAGCTCCAGGAATGGGGAGTCAGTCATCACGCCTGGCACCCCTGAAGGACAGGACCAGGCAGGTGGCGGGAGCTCAAACTCTTGCCACAGCGGGGTGCCCCCTCCAGGGGCCAGTGGGGCACAGGGAGCCGGCGGCACGGGGTCGGGGAGCGGCCGACGCCAGGCCCCACGTGCCTGGCCGCGACTACAGAAAATAGCTCCATTGTGGGAACAATCCCAGGAGTCAAACAGAGGGGGTGGATGGCTCATGCAAGACACAGCTGACAGCCTCCCCGGTGGGGGGACAGGAAGAAAGGGAAGGACAGGCGCTGCAGTGTCTGCCTGCTTAGGCGGTGCCCCAGGGCCTCCAGCCTCCAGGACCTCCGCTGGCAAGGTAATTCCCACAGGAGCCCCCGGGAGCCCCCAGGAGTGCTCGCCTGCAGGCGAGGAGAGGGTGGAAGGCGACAGATAAGGAAGAAGGGGCATCTAAGTTTGCAACAGCTGCGATCCCTGGGAGCCACGGACAGAAGGACGAGCCCCTGCCGCCACTGTCCACCGCTGTCACAGGCAGGCCCGTTGGATGCACGTGGAAATGAGGCTCAGAGGCTTGACAACCCGCCCCAGGGTTAAGGAGCTGGTACCGGCGGAAAGGAGCCTCAGACCCAGACCCCTGACGCGCAGGCGCCAGGTGAGAGTCTGCCGCGCTGCGCTCCCTCTCCAGCTGACGGACAGACACGGGAGTTCGCTGGGAGGTGAAAGGCCTCACGAGGGGCGGCCAGAGAGACGATGGGGCAACAGAAAAGACAGAGCGGGGTATCCCAAGGGGGAGAAGGGAGACAGAGCTCAGGACCTCCACAGGGACCCCTGAGTCACCCGCCGAGTCCCCCAGCTCTGCCTTCTGACCCCTGCATTCCAGGAGTCCCTTTGGTCTGAATGGAAAGCTTGAAATGTCCAAAGCAAATACTGCCCCCGGCAGGCTGCTGACCACGTGTTTCCTGGCTCCTGGTGGCCCTGGGGGAGCTAATGAAAAGCCCCGGTGTTTTCACACTGTCTGTGGCTGGAGAGCCAGGAGAGGTGCTCAGCACCCCTTCCTCCAGCTCCCACCTCCCCCCCATCTGCTTATACCACATTCCCGGGGGCTTCTGCCACATCTGGTCCTTTACCTGCTGCAGAAACAAGAAAGAAAGGTACAGAGACGCCCACAGAAGTTTGGGCTCCTGGTAGTGCTGGGCGGTGGCGGGGGGGCGGGCGTTGTGTGCTGGGGGCAGGGGTGGATCCCAGTTCTGACCCCTGCGACTGCCGGGCTGGGGACAATTTCACACACACAGAAGTGCAGGCAGGGTGCAGGGGAGGGTGGCAGGTCCAAGTCATGGGAGGATTTCCCAGAAGACCAAGTCACTTTCTCACCCCTCTGAGAGCTGGAGGGTGTGGTGCCAGAGCCACGGACTTGGTGGCTCTGAACAGAGTCACAAAAGCTACCCCTGGGAGGCAGAGGATCTTGGCCTCACTCCTTTAAACCCCACCCAGGGCACCACCCCAACGGAACACCTCAGCTTGGTGCTGGGAGGCCAAGGCCCGCCCCTCCTCCTGCCTTCACACTTACCAGACACCAGGGGATGTAAAGGCTGTGGGCGAGTCCCTTGAAGAGGTCCCCGGGGGGAGCTGTCTCTGGCAAAAGCAGCGGCAGCCCCGGCCACCTCCCCAGCTGCCTCGGGCCGGCCACTCATTTCCTGCAGGACTCTCCTGACCACAGGGTCATGGGGCATCAGCGTTGACAGACGTTCCTGACGGAACACAGACAACCAGCGTCAAGCGGAAGCTGCCTCTTCCAGCTCAGGAGTTCTGACCTGAGACGCCTCCCACCCCCCGCACGCCCCCGCCCCACTCACACCTGGTCCGCTGTCCCTGAACTCAAAGGCTCACATAGACCCTTTGGTCCTCCCAGGGGTACCCTCGTGCCCTGGCCTCTCCCCCAACTCCCAGAACAGATCCCAGACGCATGCTGCTCTGTGCCGCCCTGCTCCTCCCTCCTCACGCAGCACCACCTGGGGCCCCACCGCCTCTCTCCTCTCCTCCTGTGGCTCAAGGCCCGGCTGGGTCCAGGGCAGCGGTCCCCCACCCCACGCACTGCAGGCGGTGGGACTCTGAGTGGAGGACCTCACGTGGCAAAGGTGGCTGCTGCCAGGGACCAGGCAGAACAAACAAGGAAGGCTTGAAAAGTGACGTGGTAAAAAAGAAAAAAAAAATGCCTCATAACATGCTCACAGAGGGAACATTGTTCCTTAAAAGAGGTGGCAGCTGCCGCGGCGGGGCCAGGGCGGGACAACCCTCACCAAAGTTGCCTTATGACAAGCTTTGGGCCAGCAGGGCCCCAAGGAAGTAAGGTGCTGCGGTTCCTCTTCCTCCTTTAGCCCCCGTTGCACCTCCAAGTCCCTTTCCTCTTGCCAAACAGGATCCCTTGGCGAATTTTACAGTTTGGTAAGAATTCAGCGCGGTCAGACAGCCAACACCACCGGCCTGGCATGCAGGCTGTCCCCGTCAGCCCCCTCCAGGTGAGGTGCCCAGGTGACGGCACACCTGGGGAGGCCTGCAGTCTCTCTCAGCTGTAGCCTGTCCCTGCCCGTCACACAAGGAAAGCCCAGATGCTGCTGAAACGCCATAGTCTGTCCAGGGCCGGCCCCTCTACATCTTCAGAACAGGCACCTCTGAGAGGCAGCTCTGCCAGGTGGGGCGGGGCAAGGTAGGGGAGAGAGGGTCCCAGCTGGTAGTGATCAGGAGACAGCGGGCTCCGCAGGTGAAAAACTGATTGTTTTGGGCAGGGGCCAAACCAGCAAGGAGGCCCTGTGGTCATAGGAACCCTGCCTGGCCACCACCTTCACAATATCCAGTCATCCAATATTTGTTTGATATGCATTTGCAAATACCTAACACTTATCCGCGCCTTCCAGAGAGGTCTGTAGTCATCTCATTTCTAGCCAAGACCCTGACCTGTAGGAAAGCCAAGAATTCCTGCCGAGCCAGGGAGCAATGGGTGGCTCCGTCCCCCAACTCAAAGTTCAGTCCACGGGCACCACAGAGTCCGACTGCAGCCAGTGGGGCAGATGGCTGAGCCCAACAGCCGGTCTCAGACTTGACCAAGAGGCTAACCACCAACGCTACCCTGCTGCCCACCTGAGCTGGCAGCAAGGGCTGGCCCCGTAGCACAGGTGAAGGTCTCTATTTCTTCCAGAAAGGCCAGCAGAGTGCGGCAGGAAGTATGTGAGCATTGTTGGCTCTCATAAGGAGGCTCCATACAAATTCAAGGTATTTTTAACATCACCAAATCGCCCAATTTTGTTACAATGATCCCAGGGCCCCAAGCAGCCCTAGCCCTTCTGCCACAGGTGCTCACGCTTATCTTGATGCAGAAGAAGGCTGCAAGGTAAACACAGACTTTTTCTTAAACTGCCACTAAACAGGACCCAGTACCCTGGACAACTGTTTACCTCCACACACGGCAGCCCTGGAGCATGGCACGGCGTCTGCACGATGAGAGGCAGCGTGCCTGGCATTTATCTGAACGGGCTCTGGAGTTAGGGTCCTGGCACCATGTTGCTTAGACAAGTGGTTTAACCACTCTGTGCCTTGGCTTCCTTCTCCATCAAGTGGGGACAACACTGTTTCTCTCACACAGGGCTGCTGGGAGGCGCACACCTGAGACGGTGCCCGTAAAGGATTTAGCTCCGGCCCAGCCCTGCCCTCGAAAGCCAGTTTGCTTTTAACTCGCCCTCCAGCTAATGGGAAAACAGCAGGACCCCATCTGATGTTTTCCTTGCTGGAGCCCACTAACCAGCGAGAGAGACCTTTGCACCAACACTAAACAAACAAGAGGGTGTGGGGAGGGGGGGGGAAGCAGCCTCTGCTTCTGTTCACGTTGTCCTCAGGCAGAAGCTGACTTCAGGGCTCTGACAGGTGTGGGAGGAGGCGAGAAGGGAGAAAGACAAGGGGCGCTTGCTTGGGGAGAAGGGAGAAACAGTAAGGGTGACTCAGACGGAGTCTTTCCTCAGCCCCGGCGAGTGCCTACCCCGCTGCAGGAGCCAGAAAGGCCCAGGATGCCTCCCACAACGCCCTTGTGTCCACCAGGCCCGGCACGGGTGAGCACAACCCACTGGCTTCACCTCAGACCCTAGCAGTGGCTGGGCCACAGCCGTGCCGCTGATTTCAGGGTAGAAGGCAGTTCCAAGGTGAGTGGGTCAGACGCAATGTGGGCTCCTGCCATTGGGGGCACTGCCTGGGGCTGAAACACGGAGGCCACCCCGGGGTCTCAGGTGGCCAGCCAGTCTTTATCAGGTACTGGAACCCCCGTGGCTTTGGTTTCCTAGCACAGTTCCCCTCGCCCTCCGCGCCCCTCCCCCGAACTCCCCGCCCTCCTCCTCGGCTCCTCCCGGGCTCTAGGGAGTGGTCATCGAGGGGCAGACCCAGGGTGGTGTCAACCTCCCCGGCGGCAGGGGGCTCACGCGCCTTGACCATTTCCCAGGCCTGCCTCGCATACAGTTCGAGAAGGAGCCCCGAGGCGCCGCGGCCGGGGCCGGGAAGTCGGCTTCCAGTTGACAAATCCCCGAGTACTGGGGACAGACTAGGGGAGGGATCGGAGTAAAGGCGAAAAGCTGGAGCCCGGGAGGGAAGTCCGGAGGAGCGCGGGGCGCAGCGGGGCGCAAAGTGGACTCTGGGGCTGCGCGGCGCGGGACCGACCCTCTGCTCCCACCCACCCGCCCACCCGGCTAAGGAGTGGGGGCTGCGGGGACCCGAGGGCTGCGCCCCGAAACCTGACCCTTGTCGTGGCACCCCGGCGCAGACCCAGGTTCCGCACGACCAGGACAGGCGAGGGGCGACATTCCGCGTGCTCAGCGACACCCTCCCACTTTACCTGCGGGGTAAAAAGCCAGTGGCGCGGCCGGAGGAAGTTGTCTGGCTCCACCTGGTCCCGCGGAGCGGCGTCCGGGAAACTTGAAAGTTACACAGCGAAAGGCCCGCGCCTCCTGCACATGCGCAGAGCCGCGGTCACCGCTTGCCCAATTTGCAGGAGCCGCTCGCGCTGGCGTCCACCCGGATGCCGCCTCCCGCGCCTGTGCCGCCCCTCGGCCGTCCTCGTCCCTTGTCTCCGACAGCTCACTTCCAGGGACGTCGCCAGGGCTACTTCTCCTCGTCAGGCCCCCGGCACGTTCCCATACCGCGCGCACCTTGGGGAGACCTGGGCCATGCACAGGTGGTCGCAGCCCGGGGTCGTGCAGGGAGAGCACCCTCAAACACTCGTGGTCTACCCTGTTTTCCACTTTATATCCTCGACGGCTCGTAGGGAGGATGCAGAGCTCGGCAGGGCTCAGTACCTCTGCTTCCGGAGGAACGCGGGCACCTGGTGCCACCGCGACAGGCCGCAGCTCCCCCGCTCGCCGTAGGGGCCCCGCGTGGGAGATCTCGGTGCGGCCCCAAACCGGAGCCGCGAGGTACTACCCAGGCCCGGGCTGGGTACCAGGCTGCTTCCTCCGAACTGGACTGAAGGCGGGCCGAGGGCGCTGGGATGGGCACTGAGCAGGGACGCAGGACGGGGCTCACGGAGGACGCGCGCCCTGTGAGGCCAAAGGGCCCCGCCCGCCTGCCTGCCTGCCTGGCATGCAAAGTGCCCTCCCTCGCAGGCTTGGTTTCCACATCTGCAACACCTAGGGGTTGCACCGAAGCTGACTTCCAGGTCCTTCCTAGAACTAAAAATAGGCATTCCGGGCCCTCTCTCGCGCGCACACGCACAGCTTTGCCGGTTCTCGGCCCCCTCTGCCATTTCCGGGCTCTCGTCTCTTATTGTGATGGTAAAGGTCTTCTCCTGACCTCCCGCCCACGCTCCTAGCGCCAGCCTGTGGCTCTGGGAGGAGGGGGTCTCCTCCTGCTTCTCCGACAGTTTTCTGTCCCACCTGTTTCCTCCTTCTTTCCCACTCACAAACCCCGGCTACTAGTCACTTCCCACCGTTCGCCCTTGGCCCCTGGGCTCAGCACGTCCTCCATACCTGCCTCTGGCCACCTCTCTTCTCCCACAAGGGCCCCACACCTCATCTCCAGCAGGTTCCTGACGTGGCCCCTGGACTCCTCCACCTCGTCCTCAGACTGACCTGCCCACTCTCCCCCGCCCCGCCACCAGCACACCCCTACCTGCCGCTCCTCCTTCCTTTCCTGACTCAATGGCGCCCCCCGCCCCCAAGGAAGAGCAAGCTTCTAACCCCAGTAATTAATTACAAGGATGAAGCCGCTGACAAAAAGAAAAAGTTAGGATCTTTGATTTCAGAAAGGGAAGGGATTTCTAAATCTGATTTCTAGTGGGTGAAATTTATTTCAAAATCAGTAAAAGTCCAAAATGGATCGGGATGGGAATTCAGATTACCTTAGCCTCTGCTATGTAACGTCATGCAGGTGTGGAGTGCTTGTAAAAACATTATTTCCTTAAAGCTCCAGTAAATGTATGGGAATGGGGGGGGTGCACTTGATAGAGAAGAAAACGGAGGTTTAGAAGACATAGAATTTATAGCTAATAAGAGCTGGACAGACTAGCAAGGAATCCAAGACCTCACACCCCAGGACAGCATCCTACCTCAAAGTCACAGCTGAAAAGCCCATGTAATCTTGGCATTCAAAAATATTCCATCTAACAGTTTCATCACTTGCTCCCTTTATCTGCCCCCAAAATCTAAAGGAGTGACTCACATTATTGTTGTACTGATGATTTTGATCAGGTTTTCTCATTTGATAGCAAGCAGAATTAAAATAAAGCCCACTCACTGTGCCCAGAAAAGTAAAAACGTCGACAACAATGACAAAAAAGATTTCTGCTTCAATTATAAAAGGACGGGCACACCAGAAACTGAATGCATTTCGACCTTAGCTTCCTGTTTGACTTAACTGAAACCTTGACCATGTTTGTTGGGTTTTTTTTTTTTTTTTTATAGCGCTTTTCTTATTTTTCTAATCAGGTTGGCCTAGTCCCCATAGAACTTTCTGTTCCCTTAACGTTGTCATGCTTCTGGGTAAAATGCAGAAATACAGAATAAAACGCGATTTATGTGTTTCTTGCAAAGTGCCCTTAATATCTGAGAGGGGACGGCACGACCCATACTTGGCCCTCGGTTTTAAGCCCAGAGTGGCAGCTGGGTTTCTGGCCCATGCCAGAGCTCAGCCCAGATCCAGTGATGGGACAGGGAAACAATGACAGATTGGAGTTTCTGCTCCTCGATTACAAAATCATCACAGGTAAGTGCTTAGGATCGAGTGCAGTGAATGATATGAAAGGCAGAGAAGACTGGGCTGGGGCTACCCAGTGACCACAGAGCCTCATTCCTGGGAAGCAATTATTAGCAGGTGAGCTGCCTGGTTGGAGGAAGTAAAATCAGAGCTCCGTAGAGAGCACAGAGAATTTGCCATCAGCAATCCCCGTCTCTTCTTGTACCTAGGATGTTTCTGACACACACAGAAGCCAAGTCCCAAGGAGGCAGTGCCCGGCGCCTACGGCTCCAGCTTCCTTGGCACGGGCGCCCCGTCCGAGGCGCAGCTGCACTTCTGCACCCTCATGTTGGGCAGGCTGACCACCTGCGGCCGCGGCCTGCCTCCTTCCTTGACGCTCACAATCATGGGCAGCGAGGTCGTCTCGGACGCGACGCACTGTCTTGGCCCCAGAAACGGCCACTTGACGCTCAGGGCCTCCGGGGGCTGCTGGCAGGCGCCCACGCACTCGTAGGCCAGGAAGCCGGGCGGCTCCAGGACCCAGTGCTCCGCCCACTTCATCCCCTGCAGGTCAATGTAGGTCTCCTGGCGGCAGCAGCGGGTGCCCTCGGTCACTGGCGCCTCAGGGTCGCAATTGCCCTGAGCTCTGTTGGGGGCAAGGAGAAGCGGAGTCAGAGGTCAGGTGGGAGAACTGAGGTCAGGGGACCCGGGGCGGACCTTGCGGGGCATCTGGGAGGGAGATGTGTAACCCATCTCTCCTGGCATTAAAAAAAGCAGGATGTGTGTGACAAGGATAGATAACTAGAAATAACCGGAATATAAACAGTAATGTGATATTACTCCTAAGATTCAAAGGAGTTTTATGTACTCATTCATTCCCATAGCACCATGAGAAGAGTTGCCCCTTTCAGTTTAAGCGTATTTCCCTAATCCGGTTGACCCTCTGCCCCTCAGAGCCTACCCGAACTCCCCGAGGTCCAGGGTGTGCAGCTCCAGCTGGGGCTCGCCCTGCCGGCCGCCCGGCGGCCCCTGGGAGGCGAAGCGCACCAGCTCATGGGCGCTGGAGGTCAGCGGGCCCACGTGCTCCCGCTGCACCGACACCTGCAGCAGCAGCGGCTCCCGGGGCCGGCTCAGCTGCTGCCAGAAGTTCACAGCCTCGGTCACGTCGAAGGCTCTCCAGCCGCTCTCGCGGACGGACACCAGCCTGCGGCACCGGGAGGAGACAGAGGCCCGTGCTCAGGGCTGGAGATTGGGGGACCTCTCCAACCCCCTCCTGTCCCCGTCCTGGGGACCCTCGCCCCGCTACTTCCCCCCACTCTCCCCCGCCACACACACACACACACACACACACATCCTAGCCAGGGCTTCCCCACCTGGAGTCGATGAGGAACGTGCGGTTGGAGCCGTCATCCCTGGCCTGCAGCCACTGGACGGTGACCCGGGCCCGGTCGCTGTGTGGAGAGAGCAGCTCGTGGCTGCGGAGCGCAGCCTCGGGGAGAGGCTCCTGGAAGAGGCGCAGCACCGCCTGCACCAGCTCACTGTTGGGGGGCAGCCGCCGCTCCATGCTGAACACCAGCAGGCGCCTGGAGGCCTCGGACGCCAGGAACCTGCCGGCCACCTCTGGGGACAAGGGCAGGGTCAGCGGGGCCTCTCCAGGCACCTGGGGACCTCTGAGGGTGGCAGGGACCAGAGCCTGGGAACAGGGTCTCCCTAGTGATGCACCGGGAGAATGTGGGGAGCTGATGGGCCAGGAGAGAAAGCGAGCACCCCCAAAAGGAAAAAGTTCCTGGCCGGTCCTAGCCTCCCAAGTCATTTGCGCCTGGAGCTTGTTCCTAGCGGCCCCCACCCTCAGTGGGGAGGGGCAGCTTTGGGCCCCTGAGCAGACTGTCCAGGTGACAGGAGCCTTCTTTAGGCAGAGGTGACAACATTGGGATGAGAGTGGAGAGCAGCCAGCGGAGACCCCAGCCAACGGGAGTCTGCGGTCACCGCTGAACCTGGCGTTTCCTAAATGGCAGAAAGAGCCCTGCATTTACTGCCATTTCCTCTCTGGTGAAATGTCCCCAGAAGAAGGAAGAGGAGCCAGGAGACTATAAATAAATGAGTTTTTCAGGGCTCCTGAGCCCAGAAGTGGCAGGGACACGCATACGACCCTGGTCAGAGGTACCAACACCTGAGACCCCGGGCTTGCAGCATGAGCTGAGGCGTTTGAGACCTGACCAGCCTCCTCATCTCCCCGGCACCCTGCCTGGCTGGAGCAGGGGATGCTTGTGGCTCTGGGCCCCGGGACAGTGAGCTCCAGCCCCAGGGAGATGACTGGCTGCCACGGGACTGAGACCTGGCACACCCCCGACAGACTGTCCTCAAACAATAATCTCCAACATCATGAAAGCACCCTACCTCCCATGGCATGCCCACGCCTCTGGGGAGTTGCAGAGCTAAGCTAGCCTCAGCTCCAAAGGCGCGAACAGAATCGGGGATGTCTGGTGTTGCGTCTGAGGTTAAGCAGCAAAGGTCAAAGCTGAGGACCGAACCCAGAGCTCCTGTCTCTCTAAGGCAACTCTCTCTGCTGAGGTTCCTTGCTATCCATTTTCTCTTTTCTATTCACCCTCCTTCCACTTCACTACCTCATGGGTCGGTCGGTCTTTCTTCCTACCTTCCTTCCTTCCTTCCTTTGAGAGAGACATTGATTCGTTGTTCCACTTATTTATGCATTAATTGGTTAATTTTTGCATGTTCCTTGCCCGAGGATAAAACCTGCAACCCTGGCATATTGGGATGATGCTCTAACCAACTGAACCACCCAGCCAGGCCCTTGGATGTCTGCTCTTGCTCTGGCTTTGCCAGCGTGTCCAGCTCCTCCTGGCCCTGGAGGTGGGTCCCTCGGTGCACAGAGACCAACCATCCTCACAGCTCACGGTCCCAGCTCACTGCACTGTGGACCCTGGGCCTCCAGACAGGCCCATGGGTCTTGCCCCCCACCCTGCACCCCCCAAGGACCCGGGTGCAGCGGGGAGGGGGGCCTCACCTCGGAAGTTCTGGCTGAACCTCTTCCCCCGGGATCGGCCCCCGTGGCTGCGCCTCAGCAGGGCCACATACTGGGCCCTCACGCGGGCGGGGGCGGCCAGCTCCTCCGCGTCGCTCTCGTCCAGGACGGGCACCTCTCTGAGGCGCAGCTGCTGCAGCAGGCTGCCCAGGATCTGCTCCTCGGTCACGGCCGCCGCGGGGCCGCTCAGGGGCAGCGCCCAGAGCGCCCAGCACAGCCACAGGGTCCTCATGGTGCCACTCGGGGCGGGGCGGGGGGAGCAGAGCGGAGTGTCCCCTGAGGAGGGTCCAGGAGGGTCCCAGCTGGGCGTGCTGAGAGCCAGGCTGGGCCAGCTTTATAGCCGGCTCTGGGCTGGGCCTGGGTGGGGGGGTGAGGGGGAAGGTCACACCCCTCGCCCTCCTGGGAGCTCGGCGGTGGTGGCCAGACAGGTCCCTGGGCCCTGCAGAGGGGGCTGTCTAGGGAGGGCACAAAGGCTGTCTGTGCCTTGGCTTGGGTGTCTGACCAGCCCAAGTAAAACGCTTCCTTCCTGGAGGAGAGGTTGGGCTCCCCTGCAGTGACATGGACTGGACTCCCTGGTGTGTGGCCCTGGAGTCCGGCTCCTTTTTGCAGTTTAAACTGCCCTCTCAGTACCGGGCTTGCTAAGGACCAACCTCTCCTCCGGGAGGAGCACCTGGACCCGGTCCACAGAGGGCTCCTGGGGGCAGCCGTGGTCCTGGGCAGCCCTGGTCAGGACACCCAGTGTTTCCCATTGTGTGTGGTGCGGGGGTGGGGCACGGTGTCTAAAGGGTCCTGGGAACATTGAGCACCAATGGGGTTCTCTCCAATAAGGAGCCCCATCCTCTTCCTCTTCCTGGCCTATTGTCGATTTAGATATTAGAGTCAAAAGCATCATCCAGCCCTGCTCCCCCCGCCCCCATCCCCTTGCTTCTCCAATTTTCGAGGCAAGAAAACAGGCTCGGAGAGGTGACAACATGCCCAAGATCACACAGTTCAGGATGGAGGCCTGCACAGTCAAGGCCTTCAGGCGCCCAGCCCCAAGTTCCCTCCGCACCCTCCAGCTATTTCCAGCCAGAATGCGGAAGCGGGCCCTGGACACTTGGCCGGCTGAGGTCTGGTGGGGGCCGTGGGCACATCCCCCAGCTCCCTGAGGCTTCCCCAGCCTGCATGTGGATTTGAGGCAGGATAAAGCGTTTTCTTGGGGAAGTAAAACAATTGGACAGTCAGCCAGGGGGAAGGCTCACCAATGAAATGCAGGACACCACTTAGGAAATCCTTCTAAGGACAAATTTTCCATTGTTTATCGGAAATTTTAATTTCACTGGGAGTCCTGTATTTGTGTTTGCTAAATCTGGCAAACCCTAGCCAGAGGCCCAAAGGAGAAAGCGAATGTGGATTGGGAAAGCCTTCACAATGGGTTGATTAGCGGTCGGGGGGAGGGCAGCCCCCGCGCTTTGTCATGCAGAAGAAGGAGTGGCTCCCCCACTTCCTCCCCAGCATCTGGCCCAGCTCCACCAGGTCAGGGCGGCTGGAGACGCTCGATTGGCCCTGGTCAGATCTTTCGTTCTGAAGAAGAAAAGGGAGAGCGACCGGGCCCCTGACTGAGGGCCTGTTTGGACCTGGCCCTAAGCCCAGAGCTGCGGGGACCGTGGAGGGCAGCGGGAGGCCCAGCCTGGGCTGTGGGCGCCAGGCCTGGCACCCAGCCGGTCCTAGGGAGGCGGACAGTGGGCGTGAGGCAGGAGGGCAGGTGCGGAGTGGGCTGTGTGTCCACGTTCACCCTCCTGCCTTTAACAGGCCCAGATTTGACCCCCACCAGGGTCCGAGCTGCCTGGTGAGGGCCACGAGGAAACGTGAGGGTCAGAGGTCATCCCACAGCCTCCATGGGCGGGGGCCAAATAGGATCAGAGCCTGGGTTCAGAACCAAAGGAAGCTCTGGGGTTGATGAAGGCTGGAGCCCAGGAGTAGGTTCCCGGCTGGGTTAAAGCCCAGCACCCAGGACTCTCCAGGTGGCACCTGTCCCCTTCACCGCCAGGGGCAGACACGCCTGCGGGTGCTCCCGAGACTGGGGTTGGCTCCTTGGAATCTCCAGACACACCCCTCGGAGGGCCCTCTGGGGTCTCGCAGAACATCCTGTCCACAGGCCACCCCTGCCTGGGACTCTCTGCATCCAACGAGGCTAGGGACAGGGGCCCAGGTCTCAGCTCACCCAGCCCCTTCCTGGCAGGTGAGCGTCCTGGGCTCAGTGCTGGCTGTGCCACTCCAGCGGTGTGGCCTCGGGCACGTTTCCCACCAGCTGCAGCTTGGCGCTCCTCCTAGGAAACGGGGGAAATGTACTTATTTGTAAGGAACTTGTCGGGATTAATGGCAATGTCAGCACAGGCCTCTGGCACACGGTCGGGGCTCAGTTAAGTAGCAGTCTTGTGCATTATGGGACGCTTTTACATTTAACTTTTAAAAATTTAAGTTAACAATGTTTCTTAATTATTTTTATAATTAGTATGAAAGTCAAGAGGCACAAAAGGGTGTAAATATTTGGAAAACGTCACTGCCCAGTTCATCTCCCCAGAAAGCCTGCGCTTCACAAAGAAACGCAGAAGTATTTTTCCCACTTTGCAAATCTTACTAATCTAGCAACATGATCTACACTCTGCTTTCAAAATTATCGTTTTAATTTAAAGTTTGGTCTTTTTAAAAATCCTGTTTTATTCATTACGCTATTGCCATGGTCCTGACTCTCCCCCCTCCGCCCCCCTAAACTTTGGTCTTCGATGGCACTGTGTACAGGAGGCTGTGCTCTCGCTCGCTGTTGGTGTGAACGGAGGTCAGCTGGCAATGCCTGTAAAAGGAGAACCGCATACACCCTGCGGCCTGGCATACCCGCTTTTACACACAGAAACCAGTCTCTCTCCCCAAATCTCCTCCATAAGCTCCACTTCCTGTCTCGCTTTCTCTTCAATTAATTAAGCAAATATTTACTGATCATTTTGCCTCTTCTCTGTGTCTTGGGGACACACCTGAGGAGACAAAGAGGCAGCTGATACAAAAGGAAGATTCAGGGCAGAGCAGGGACCCCAGGGAAGGGGGGCCACTCTGCAAAGCTGCTGTCGGAGCCACGGTCCCCCCCTCTTTAGGTGGTCCCGCAGTGGCCTCCCTCCCCTCCCTTTGTCTTCCTCACTGCACGCCCCACCTTCACCCTCCCCTCCACTGCAGAGGAAGGCGCTGTTGACATTTGTCAGAGGGGGCTCAGAGCGGTGCAGACGCTTGCCCAAGGTCAGAGGTTGACAATGAGGGCGCCGAGGGCGGCTGACCCTGGCCAGTGCTGTGGGACAAGTTCATCACCTGCCTGGGCCTTATCTTCCAGGTGGGGCGTTGATAACATGCTCAAGAGCTCAGTGCAAGGGTTGAGAGAGTGCCATTTCCAGCTCAGGGTGAACACCCAATCCGCATCCCTCCTCGCTGGATGCGAAGGCCTCCTTCCTGGCCGTCTTCAGACCCTGGGTGACATAAGTCCCCAGTCCCTACCTCTTAGCCTGGGGAGCCTCAGGGGTGGGCCGGTCCTGCTGATGCCAGAGGCCAGGCTGCTCTGGGAGATCAGGATGGAGCCTGAGATTCCAAGGAGCCACATGGACCCCCGGCCTGGGATCAAGGGCCTGAGGGGTGCAGGGCTGAGGGGCCTAGGGCACCTGGGGCTGGGCCTCGGGGCCTCTCTGAGGCACCCACCGGAGTGTCTGCCCCTGGCTGTGAGGGGGACAGGTGCCACCCTGGAGACCCCGATACTTAGCTCTAACCCAGAAGAGAACCTGCTCTTGGGCTCCATCACCAGCCTCAGCGTCCCCTTCAGTTCTGAGCCCAGGCCCTGTTTCAGTTCATCACCACCAATGGAGTCTGGGAAATGACCTCTGACCTCACGGCTCCTCATGGCCCTCACCTGGCAGCCCGGGCTCTGGTTAGGGCCCAACCCGTTCCTACGGGGCAGGATTTCCACCGTCCGGTCACAGCCCCTCGAACCCATCTCCCCACTATGTCCTCAACTCCAGGCCCGAGATTACGCCCTCAGTCGGGGGCGCTGACCTTCACCTCCTTCCCCCCACTCCATTGCCCCACTCAGGACAGCAGACCTGGCTTCGGGATGATTCTCTACCTCTGACCTTCCGGCCCAATCCAGCCCTGCAGAAAGCCAGCCCCCGCACAGACCCACAGCCCAGAAAGCCAGGCTCCTTGCTCTGCAGGACAAAGGGTGGGGCCACCCTCCCCCCTGACTGGCTGGTCAGTCCACTCTACAAGTCCCAATCCACATTCGCCTTCTTCTGGCTGCTTGCCCACTTCTTTTATTTGCCAGGCAAAACTCTTGCTGGAGGAATCCACATTCAGCAAAGGGGCCTGTGTTTGCAGAGGGATAATAGGTCTGGGGGACTGCCCTGGTCTGCCTCTGTCCATGCCCTTCCTTAAATCAATCTCCTGCATTCATGGCGTCTGCCATCTCTCGGACCCCAGGCCAGCACCCTGTGCAAACAGGCTGAGGTCACAGAAAGGACCTGCTCCTTGTCCCTCCTAAGAGAGCCTGTCCCGTCTCGTGGCTTCCTGGGCCGTTCATTCATGGATGACCCCAGCCTGCCCACTCCACTGGGTGCCAGAACCATAGATCCAGCTGCCCGTCCACCCCTACCTGTTCCCACTCAGTATATGGCTCACCCAGCCTGGCCTTTACTCCTAGGGGGTCACTCTTAATTCCTGTCCCACGTGGGGGCCTTCCCTGGTGAGGGGGCAGTGCCAGGGGATGGGCGTCTCTCAGCCCTGGGACAGCAGGTCCCTGCTGAAACCAGCCCCAGAGAGCGCCTGGTGGGCCCTGGTGGGCGGCTGGTGACAGGGCAGGGCCTGGAGACAGAGTCAGCCCCAGGGAACCCTCAAGTAGGAGTCTGGAACCCCGGATTTGGCCTGGCTTAGTTACCAGCTCGTAACAAAGACACTTCTGTACACTGGGCCTGAGGGACAGAGGTCCTACAATTCCAAAAATAAGTATCTGTCCCCATCCTTTTAAACATACACACACATGCGCGCGCGCACACACTTATTACCTCATAGGTTCTCTGTGTCAGGATTCAGGCCCAGCTCAGCCGGATCCTGGGCATGGGTCTCACAGGCTATGGTCAAGGTGTCAGCCGGGGCTGGGGTCCCATCTGGAGGCTGGACTGGGGAAGGGGCCACTCCTGAGCTCCATCAGGCTGCTGTCAGAAT